TGTATTTCTCTGCCTCAGCCTTGGGATGAGCCATGTCTTCAAGGAGCCCTGGTCCATCTTACTGAAAAGTGCTACTTAGAAACTGCTGAGAGCCACAGCCAATGACACATGGCATTTTTGCCAGAAGGGAGTGGTTGAGAGGTGATGCCAGCGAGCCATTGTGATGATGATGGTTATGTTAAGCTGTGTATTCAATTGTATATTAGACCCCTGCAGTCCACCTCGGCCTGCTACTTTGGAGTTCTCGTGGGGATTCCTGGAGAGTTCGTGTTGGTTGGGGAAGTGCTGGAGGAGGGATTTCCGGTTGGTGGTGTTTCCTGGAAAGGCGCGTGTGTGGTGTTCGGGGGAGTTAGGGCAATAAAGGAGTTCCTGTTTTGAACCTACAAGTCCTTCATGGCGGCTCGGTTATTTTGTGCCCAGCCAGACTGCAGCAAGGAACCAGGATCTGGTGCTTGATGTGCTCATTGTTATTGGGGAGACAGAGCTCTGAAGCCCTCTCAGTGGAAAGAGCTAAGGAGTATGTGTAGGCACAAATGCATGTGCGCGCGTGTGCGCGCACACACACACACACACACACACCCCTCTGAGTACTGAACACTGTAAATTCACACTGATATCTCCAATTCAAAGATAGGATATACCCTTATCTTAAGTTTTGCTCTTCCTGTGTTTCTAAGTCTCTTTTCTGATAGTGAGAAGCCTGCCTTCTATTATCCTTAACATATTAACTGGAATCAAGGTCTCATTTTACTGTCACTCTGCCCCTCACCCACTTGGGCTCTGACTCCCCTTGCTAGTCTGCTTTATCTCTAAAACCCTACATGGATGCTGCTCATCTTGCTCTGAGCTCTGACACCCCAGGCCAGCTCCCTCCTTGTACAGATGCCAGCTTGTGTCTCATAGGCTTTAGTTTCAGATGCCAGGTAGCCCCGTGGGGTGGACTTCCTTCTCCCTCTTGTGGCCTGGGTCACAAAGGTTCCCATTCCTTGACAGGAGTGGACATCTATTTTGCCTCTTCCATGCAGGGGCCTTAGGACTAAATTGTTCAGGAAGGGAAAGGACTTAGTTCCTCTTATATTGACCCCTCAGCCAGAACTCTCTTCTCATCTCTGCCTGTTGTCTCAACATCCTACCTTTTATTTAGAGTCCATGGGATCTAGATTCCTATGTAAAAGCAGAAGCAGATACTTTCTAAAATTTACTATTTCCTAAACAATATATCTTTTCAAGGAAAAATTTCTCTGCAATTTAAACCCTATTTTCTCCTTTTAAAAACAATCATAGAATCTTTTCATAGGTTTCTTGAAGGTATTTTCTTTCTCTGCTTATTGATCATAATAGAAAAAGAAAGTTACTTAGGGCTGATGTTAGCCTGTAGGAAGGCGGACTTTCTCTGTCCCACCCGACTCCCACTCTCAACTTTTTGCAGGTCTAATTTTTTCTTTTCCTTTAGTTCTTGTCTCAAACACTACCTCTTAGTCTGTACAATTATTCTACACGGAGTAGAGTTCCACTCTGTGTTATTTGCTGTCTTAGCCTCTTATGCATTTCTTTTATAGCCCTTATTGCAAATTGAAAAGATTTGATTTGTCCACTTACTTGATTGCTGTCTCTCTATAGAGGAAGGAAGCTCAATGGAAGCAGGCATTTTACAGAATGAGACAGTCCATGAAGATATGAAAGGATGCTCAACCTTATCATTAACGTAAAAGTGAAATGTCATTTCATGAATCTACCAGATTGCTAAAAATGTAAAGGTCTGATAAAACTCAGTGTCTGCAAGGGTGCAGAGAAATGGGAACACTTCCTGACTTGCTAGGAATAAATTGTTATGACCACTCTGTATGACGTCTCTCACCTAGTGAAATTGCACACATATGCATGCTCACAATGTTATGACACTGGGAAGGCTTGTTCTCTAGAGAAACTCTGATGAACGTGTGCAACCTTCATAAGAAGAAATGGACAACAATGTTCATATTGCTTGAAATAAAAGAACCTAAATGTTCATTAACAATAAATTAGATGAACAATTGCATTTTTGTGTGATGGAATACTATATGGCATTGAAAATGAGCTAAGAGCAAGTATACACATCAGCATGAATTTCATAAACTTGATTTTTTTAAGTGAAAAAAATCAAGCCACAGAAGAATATTTGCTGTGGTTTGCCTTCCAAAGGTATGCAAGAAACTTGGTCACCAATGTGGTGATTTTGAGAGGTAGTGGCACCTTGAAGAATTAGGAACTAATGGGAGATTATTGTGTCATTGGAAGTCCTGCCTTGGATGTAGTTACCTTGGCATCCTGGTTAGTCTTTGTGAGAGTGGGTTACAAAAACAGTGAGCCTGGCTCCTTGATCTTTCTGGTTTCCTGTTTCTCCATGTGATCTCTTCCGCACACATTCCCACCCTTGTGATGCCATCTACTACAAGGCCCTCACCAGAGGCTGAACCTATGGGGCTGCCTGATCTTGGACTATCAGCCTCCAAAACTGTGAGATAAATAAACCTCTTTTCTTTCTGCATTAGCCAATCTGAGGCATTTTGTTGTAGCAACAGATCTAACAGACATTTATAGAATGTTTCCATTTATATAATGGAAATAACATGTATGTTGTAGTGCCCTTGCCTGTTCCTCTGGTCAACGAGGCCTTGGTGGAACCTAGTGGAGGGAAGTGAGGTCTAAGCTGGCGCTTAAGGGCCATCTAGTCTGTTTGGGATGGTGTAACAAGTTACCATAGCCAGAGTGGCTTATGGACAATAGGAATCCACTTCTCACAGCTCTGGATCCTGGGAGACCTGAGATCAAGGCTTGGAAACTTCAGTGTCAGGTGAGGGCTTGCTCCCTGGCCCAGGTCCACTCACTGAGTCCTGACATGGGGAAGGAGTCAATGAGCACCCGGGGCCTCTTCAGAAGGGCACTGATCCCTTCATGAAAGCTTTGCCCTTGTGATCGAATCACTCCCAAAGACCTCTCCTGACACCATCTCCTTGGAGGTTAAGATTTCTACCTATGAATTTTAGGGGGACATAAGCATTCAGATGACTGCAAGGGCTGCTTGTCTCTTTTGAGACACAGAAAGGCCCAGTGCCCAGGATTCACCCTGAAGGACGTGCCCTTCATGAAGACTTGCTTGGAGAAGTGGGGAACAAGGATGGCCTGGGGCTGGGCTGGGCCTCCTTCCCTGGGTCCTGGTACAGGTAGGAATGAGAGATCTGGCCTAGCACCAAGGCAACACCTCCCCTGCCCTCATAATATCATAATAATAACCATGACGAAGGTGACTCTTATGGCTACTGCTGCTACAATTTTGATCTGAAATGTCTCCCACAGGCCATGTGCTGAAGGCTTGGTCACCAGCCTGTGACGTTACTGGAGAGTGGTAGAACCCTGTGCAGGGAAGTGAGGTCATGAAGGACATGCCTCACTTGGGGACACTGGGGCCCCAGGCCCTCTTCTCCCGCCCCCCTGCTTCCCAGCTGTTGTGAGGTGAGCAGCCTTGCTCCTCTGCATACTCCCTGCCTCATCACAGGACCAAAGCAAGGGGACCAAGCAGCCATACTGGAACCCCTGAAACCATGAGTGAAAATAAACTTTTGCTCATTTAAATAAATAGTTTACTTCAGGTATTTAGTCATGGTGACAGAAATTGGACATTGCCATTTGTTGAGTACTTTTGTACTCTGAGCCTGAAGCTAAGGATTTCTATGCATTATATAACATAACCCTGTGCGGTTAGTGCTGATATTATTCCCATTTGGAGGCTAGTGAAACTGAGGCCTTGAAAGGTAAACTGAGAGACCCAAGGTCTCACAGCCTATATGTGGCAAGGCCAGCATTTGAAACCAAGCCTGTGACTCTGGAGTCCACAGTTTCTCTAGGGAGCAGTGACAGAGTTGAAATGAAATCACTTGAAAGTGTGAGTCCCATTTTTTGGGGGGAAGAGGTGTGTTCAACAGGAGGGGTGTGGGTACTGAGACCAACCCAGAGGGCAGAGTCTTGTCTCTGGGTCACACTTATTCTGGGCCACAGCTCCTAGGATGGTGGCTGGAGCTGCCCGTCATCTTTACATTATTGTTTCTGTTCGTCTCTGGTTTTCTATAGCTGCCTCTTCCATGGGTTAAAGGCTGAATGTGTTCAAGTTTCTATAAATGCACTCACACCCAACAGCCACACCAGAGCTGATACTATAGAATAGAAAGACCTGGGTGTTGTTGCCAGTTCTATCTGCACATTCTTGGCATGTTCTGGAAACTTCCTTTGCTCTCATTTCTTCCTTTGAAAAATGGAAATGATAATATCTGCTTTAAATGTCTCTATAACCTTAGAGGCCAAAAGGTCCAAACCATGCATGGCATAAGTGAAGAAACATCTTTCCTGTAGAAGGGTCACATAGTCACATACACCCCCTCCACCCAGTGGAGCCAGGAATGAAATCCACTTTTCCTGATTTCCAATTCAAATATATGTAATGCTCTGTAAATTGTGAACAAGGACATTATTCCATAGAGTGGCTCAAGCCCATGGAGAACTTTCTATGATTTTTTTTTTCTAAAGCAGCATCTGCTATAACAATATGAAAAATATCCAGGTTCAGAACTAACTTTGGATTCCTAGAAGAGAATGAGCCTCCAGCAAGGGCAAACCCCCCTGAACTGTTCATGCTCATCCTACTTGAAATCACTGTCTTGGTGCATGAAATCACAGCATCCCTTGAGAGTTAGCAGAAGCTTCAGATCCCTATGGAGGGGGACTACCTTCTAGAAGGTGCTAAGGGAGAAGCTGGGCACAGGTGAATGGACAGGTCAGCTGACGGAGTCCTGTGCTGGGAGCTCACACACAGGCTAGTCCACTTCCCTCTCATGACTCTGGGGACTCTGAGACTTAGAGAAACCATAACACTCACTCAAAGTCACACAGCTAGCAAATGGTGGAGTCAGGAGTCAAGTCCAGTCTTGAGAGCCTGCCCTTCCCACCAGGACAAGATTCGTACTGACCAGAGAAGGCGATGGCAAAGATCCCACCCAAGGCTGCATCATGGTGGAACTTGAGCAGGACCTGGTTGGTTGAACTGTGCACTGTTTTCTTGGCCAAGCTCCGGGTGAAGACTCCTAGCTGTGGAGATGTCTGCTGAGGCCCATCCCTGCATGTAGGAAAGAAGGTCCTAGCATGTCACCAGTCATGCTGGCTGCCTGCTCTCCCTGGTGCCATCAGTGGCCTTAAGAGAGACCAGGAGTAGGTGACTATGACTCTTCTTGCACCCACTGCTCTTTCTCCAATGTCCTAAACACCTCTCTCCAAACCCTCCCAACTCTATCTCCCAGTGGAGTTGATAGAATCAGTGAAGCTCACATGGATTCCTATTCACCTGATTCTTCACCAGCCCAATCCCTTAAATGGACTCCAGGGGCAACATAGGTGCCACAGAGCAGGGCTGAGAGTCTAACTGCAGTCCTCAGTCTGAGCAGCCCTGGGCCAGGGCTGAGGAACTGGTGTAGAACCTCATACTGTTATCCAGGTCAGTTCCATTTTCTTTTCCCCAAAGAGATGTAACCACATTGCCTTTCTGGATGCAGGATTTTTTCACCAGAACCTATCTAGTCCCTCCTCTCTTTTCTTAGCAATTGCTTGAAAATTTAGCTAGAAATTAACTCAGGACAGAGTGGTTACAATTATCTTTTACAATTACTGGGAGTTTTGGAAAAGAATCCCACTATCTCCTGATGATTCCCCAAAAGGTACTAAGCTCTAAACAAAGGAATTTAAAAATTATACTATCTCTTTCTTCAAAGATTCAGTGGTTTGGAAAAAATACCATCTAGGAAACTTCATTTATTCATAAATAACCTATATTTTCATTTTAAAATTAACTTGTTATATTATACATCTCTTCATAAATCAATGCTGAACTCTCCAGTTTAGTATCCACTAGCCATGTGTGGCTATTTATACTTAAGTTCATGAAAATTAAATAAATTTTAAAATAAGCTCCCTAGTCACTCTATTTACATCCAGATGCTCAGGAGCACATGGGTCTAGTGGCTACCACATTGACCAAGCACTCATTGGCACACATGTCTAGTGGCTACCATGTTGGATAGCATGGACATAGAACACTCAATTAGTGCAGCACTGGCTCAGCATGAGATGACCAGAGGGACTTCATAAAATTCTACTACTACCATTAATCTTGGTAGCTTATCTATGGTACATGTAGAATGTTGGTTTGAATTCTGGAAACACTGAGGAACGCCTCATTATCCATGCCCACTGCCATTCACATCTCTTTGCCACTTTCACTGGTCCCTATGAGGAACCCATGCTGGGTTCCTCTCATCGCTCTCCCTTTGAAGTATTAGAGTGACTAACTGAAACTTCAACCACAGAGCCTGCTAATGCTCCCGTCTAATTGGTTGTCAACATGGCGCCTGGCCCTACCAGATGGTGATGAAGTCTCCGGAGGGCTCTGTCTGTAGCAGGCTGAGGTTGAGGCGGACACCATGACCAATGGGCACAGTGATCATCCAGACACAGTCCTGGGAGCTGGAGTATGGACTGGGGTAACCCGGGGAGTACACAGTGCCATTGGAAGAGGTGATGTTACCACCGCAGGGAACTGCCAAGGAGGGGACACAAACAGATGGGTGAGTTTTGGAGATCCCTACCCATCTGCAAGTTCAAAGGGCTTCCTAACTAATCCCATTTCCCAGCACCAGTGATCCCATCAGAGGATTGTGTGGATGGTGGGGAAGAGACTGGGCTGAGGGTGGCTGACTCTACCCACCAGACTCACACCCTGCTGGCCCTCAATTGTCACTGAAGGTGCCTCTGTGGGCTGGTCTTACCCTTGGCCTCCTTCTCTTTCTCATGACAGTATCCTGCCAAGAAGAAAGGACACATGGAAGCTGTCCCCTATCCTTTCCTAGGAAAGGGGAGGAGCAGGTGCTAGGGTGAGAGCTGCAGTACTTTTTCTGGGAAGAGCTAAGAGATTATAAAAATGTCTCTCTTTCTGTTTGATTTGCTCTCTCTATAGTGGTCTTTCTGGACTAGAGTTGAGGATGTTTGTGGGGAGGCTGAGGTTGGGTTCAAGTCATGGATAGGCCATTGATTGACCAGAGAACCCAAGACAAGTAGTTTAGTCTCTTGGAGTCTGTTTCCTCACCAGTAAAGTGAGGCTAGGAACACCACTCATAGAACTGTGGTGGCAACTGGGCGAAATGATGCCTATCTAATATTCAGCCCAGGGCTGTTGATTCAGCTCAGTGGCAAAGACCTTGCTTAGAATGTGCAAGGCCCTGGCTTTGACCCCTAGCACCATGATAAATAAATAAGTGAATGAATAAACATGAGAATGAATAAATAAGCAAATAAACCCTTTGGCCCAATATCTTACCCACCGAGGAGGGATCAACTGCATAGATACGACCCTGTCTCCTTATCTTCCTGTTCTCTAAAAGTAAGGTCTGATTTTAGATTCACTCTGATCTAGGCTTTAAGCAGGGGATGAAGATGCTTGAGGCCACCCTGGTATTGGGACTCAATTGTCAGAGATGTTGGTCCAGAGTATTTGTTGCTGATACGGAGCATCAAGCAGATAGCTAGATGAGGGCAGATCAGACTGAGGAAGAAGAATCTCCCCTGCAGAAGGCAGGGTTCCTGTGAATTTATCCTAAATGCATGCACATGGACACACTATCCCTACTCCAGATGGGCAATATCCACTTGGTGCCAGGCAAGGCCTGGGGAGACCATGGGAACACAACACTCGAGTTTTGTCCTGTGGTACCCACAGTCTACTGGACCCAGCCAAGAATACCAGCATGGATGGCACAGGATGGGGCAAGTCATCATTGTGAAATGCCATGGGGACATTTGGGGGAACCTGTCATCTGGTCTTCTGAGAGAAGTGTTCCCAGTAGAATTCACCTTTGGGCTCAGACCCGAGGGGTGCCTGGGGCTAATCAGATCAGAGAGAGGATGGTTACCTAGGAAGAAGCAGTATGGGACGGAAACAGGGGCCAGGCTGTGCTACATTAGGGTGTGAACTTTACCCCCAAAAGAAGGGATGCCTTGCTGGATTCTGAGCAGGGGAGCATCCTGGGGACTCACTCCCTGCCTGGTGAAGAATGCGCTGAGGCTGTGTGCAGATTGGCTCAGTGAGGCGTGAAGTCTGACCAATGAGGAGGTGCATCTGTCTAATGGTGGCCTGGGATAAGACAGAGGTGGTGGATAGAGGAGGATGCGTGTGAAATAAAATTAGCATGTAGAAAGCAGGACTTGGCACATATGGGAGACAAGCAGAAGGGAAGGCGCCCAAATTAGGGACTCCAGGTGTGCCTGTCACTAGATGGAGATTTCAGCTTCATGGCGGAAAGTCAGTAAGCCTTTCCAATATGTTGGGATTTATTTGTCTCTGAAATAAGTGGAGATAATAATAATAATTATAATAATAAGTGAAGATAATAAGTAAGCAATTAGATATTCAGGTATGGTGCTCAATAAGGAGATGAAGGGTGCAGACATAGATGGCATTTGGGGACATGAGAAAGAATGAGAGAAAGAAGAGAAGGCAGTCTAGAACAAAACTCCAAAGAATAACAACACTTAAGGAACAAAGGAGATGACCACAAAAGTGGGCCCAGGCATAAAGGTGGTTAGAGAGCAAGAAAAGACTTGCTGATGAGATCAAGGAAAGAGCTTCTGGCTCTGACAGCAGGCTGAGAAAAAACTGCTCGTCTCTCTCCCAAGATGCCATAAAAGACAAACTAGGAGTAGGAAGGGAACAAAGTCCTCAGTGAAGCTGGTCACGTAGCACGTGATTAGACAGCAGGTCCAGAATGACCAATTGTGATGGGTTAAAAAAAAATGGAACTCAGAAGGGAGTACAGGCTGCACAACCTCTCAGTCATCCTGGTTCTGGTCAAGGAAGAAGACCTGAGAAAGTGCCACCTCCAGGTCCTTGGTGTGACCAATTTATCAATCTCTAGGAACATGGAGGAAGGAGAGAATAATGCAGGTGTGGGGACAAGTGGAGAGGGAGCAGGCCAGTTCCTAGAAAGAGTCTCATTTTCTTCTTCCTTTGGGAAGGTGCCACGGTTAACTCTCTCTCTCTACCCCTCAGCACACTGCTGGGCCCCTACATCCTCATCTGCATCTTCCCTTCCAACTGGGAATGTCTCGTTGGATCTTCCCAAGGGCTGGGCATGTCTTTCCCCTGGCTATGGTCCACATCTCCCCCTGGCTAGACTGGGTCACACCCACATGAAAACAGGGTGAATAAAGTTTGCCAGGACCACCGAGTATCGGTGACCCATGGAAGGCAGGAGGAATGTGAGGCTGCTCTGGGTCCGTCTCTATGGTCACCCCAGGAAGGACCAGCAGGGACAAGGGAGGAACGTACCTTCACACCTGGGCAGGGGGTGGTCCCAGTTCCGGTTGGTGCCATGTTGACATGTGAGGACAGGGTGGCCAGTCAGCTGATATCCTGGAAGGCACTCGAAGGTCACTGATTGTCCAACATTGTAGCCAGCTCCCCTCACAATGCCATTGGCAAAGGGCTCTGGATCTGGGCACTCTTGAAGTTCATAGGCTGGAAAACATCAGAAGAGGTCGTCTCATTCTCTCTGGGTATTTTCTTTCCAATCACAATATAGGAGCAACAGGGGGTTAGCGCAGGGTGAAGCACTGAGACTTGGACTCCAATGAACCTTCGGCACCTGCTAGATGTTGGCTTGGGGTCTGCAGTTTTCATCTCTCTCAGTTTTCCTATTTATAAAATGGTTATTGTGAGGACCGAGTAGAATCTCAGATGCATAGCCTTTGCACAGCGCTGGCACATGGTAAGAGCTCAAAAAATGTTATCTAGGGCTGGGGCTGTAGCTCAGGGGTAGAGCGCTCACCTAGCATACCTAGCTAGCTCACCTAGCACTGGGTTCGATCCCCAGCACCACATAAAAATAAAATAAAGGTATTGTGTCTACCTCCAACTAAAAAAATATATATATATTAAGAAAAAGTATTATCTATTGTTAGTGTCCCCATGGGAAAAGGAGGCTCAAGGGACACACTGCTAGGTGGAGCTGCTATTCACTGAGCACCCATCTGGGGCCAGGCATCGGCCTAGGTGCTTTCGTGTTGTGAATCTCATGCAACAAGGTTCGAGATCACAAACATAGGAAGCAGCAGTGAGGGCAGGAGTGGACCTGTCGACTCTGCAGGATTATAACCGACAAAGAAGGAAGGACAGAAGGAATCTGGTGGAAGTCAGCCAACCTGCAGCAAGGAGAGCAACTTTGCAGAGGGACGAGCTGGGTTGGTAGGAATGTGTGACTGTCATGCAAGCGAGTCCCTCCAAAGAGCAGAAAAGCGGCCCCCATGAGAATGTGTGGGCCCAACTCAAAAGAAGATGCCTTAATGGGCAAGGCTGAGGCCCATCCAAAATGGGGAGGGGCTGAGGGAGATGCCCAGTGGGCACCGCAGAGCAAAGCCTCCCACTAATTGGGTCCACAGGACGAAGACTATCCTCTGTGGTAATAATTGGGCCCATTCTGCAAAGGAAATCATTTTAAGGAGGAGAAGGCTTGATCCCCCAGCGGAAGCTCTCAGGGGGAGTAGATGAGCCAGAAAGAATGCTCCTGAAGTGGATGCGTTTATCGCATGTAATGACAATGTTAATAACGATGGCCTCTCAGCTGAGGTTTCCCGTGCACCCATTCTGCCATCATGGCGGAGGTCTGTGCTTCCACTAGAGATTGTAGAGAGAAGTCTCAGTTGGGAGAGCTGGGCAGGTTTCCTGAGAAATCACGGAGATAACTGGGTGTGTTATAAACGAAGCAGTCCTTAGTGGGAGTGGGTGGGCTGGAGAAGAGGCCCTGTCACTGGGGGTGGTGGTGGTAGGGGGTTGGGTGATTTGGCCACAAAAGTCTTGGTGGAGGCAGGGAGCCTGGTGCCCAGCCCACTGGGTGCGATGGGGTGGGCCATTTCAGAAAGCCTGGGTGGGAGCTCGGTGGACCCAAGGACTCTGAGGAGCCTGAAGAGGGTGGCTGAGTGTGAGAAGCTGCCGCAGCCTTGATGAGAGGGGCCAGTGTTGCTCTGGGAGTGTTCGGGTGGAAGGAGCTTTTCAAAAGGAGAAAAATTTCTGTGAGACTCTCTGGATTCCTTTCAAACTGCTGAGACAAAAATCTCAGAGCCTGGTCCCTGGAAGGAGCTTCCAAGGCAGAGGTGGGATCTAGGGGACAGAACTAAACCCTCTGAGGAGAACTCACTGCATTACCCAAGGCAGGACTCTCAGGGACAGGAGCTGGGTTGTCCCAAAGGAGTCACTTCAGTGAGAACACACGTGATTTCAAACAAAGGGCCACCATTTAGAACATTAATAGCGAGGATGCCTAACATTTTGGAACCGTGATATACGTCTTAATCATTATGAAAAGTTCTAGATGAGCATGATCCTCCTGGGAGTGTGAAAGGAGTGAGTTAGGTCCGATGGAGCCTAGTAAGAGTAGCTCATGAGGGATGGAAAAGGAAGCCCCATCCTGGAAACTCTGAGTGTCCAACTAAGGCATTTGGAGGAAGAGGGAGGAGTTGGACTTCTTCCAAGGACAGCCAAAGTACCACAGGGAGCTGGGCCTGTTTGACAGAACTAGCCTCAGTGGGGACAGATGGCTCTTCCAAAAAGCTGGGTCTTCCCATGAAAGGAAAGCCTGGGGAGGGGGCAATGTCCAGAGCTTGTTTACAAGGCACGACTCCACAGGGATGAGGGAGGGGTACACGAGAATGCCAGCTTATCAGGCCGGGAGAATTATCTGGGCCTGTCACAGACTGAAGGCCTCAGTGGAAGTACCTGGGCTTCTGGCACCAGAGACAACCTAGTCTGAGAGGTGGGGTCTCTCAAACAAAAAGCCTTAATAGAAGCTGAGCTCCATTCTCAGGGCAGCAGGTGACCTGAGGCCACGTGAGGCTCCACAGGTGTCATGATACGTGGGCAGGTGTGGAGGAAGCAGTGGACTTGTAACTCAGGGGAACATCTGGGCAAATCCTGAAGGTGAAATCTGGGTCTTGTCCCAGGTGGAGGCTCCCCGTTGGACATCACTGGCCTCTCCTGGTGCAGTGTTGAGTCTCCAAATGCAAACTCCGGCCCTCCCTCCCGCTGTCCTCCCCACAGGGAAGATCCTCAGAGGAGGGCTGGTGCCTCGGATGTGTGATGCTCAGTGGAAGCAGCAGGCATGTCACAGAGGGAAATGCTGGCCCAGAGTGTTGGCCTGTTCTCCTGAAGCCTGAGGGACAGTTGGGCTCCTTGTAGCAGGTTCTGCAGGACTCTCTCCAAAAAAAGGGGAAGTCTGGGGTTGGGGGATCATCTGAGTCAGGGGCTAGGACCCTGGGGGGTGGTTAGGTCTCTTCTGGGGGTGGGAGGAGTCAGTGGAGAGTCTGAGGTTGCCATCTAAGGACAACCTTTACAAAGACAAGTGGGCTTACATACCGGGCCAAGCAAGAGTGACTGTCCTATCACAATGGACTCAGTAGGTGGACTGTGGGCATCGGGGGTGAAGAGCAGAGCAGCTGTCCTGTAACGATGGTGGTGTTTCCACAGTTCTATTTATCAGAGAGGACAGGCCTCAGGGAGAGAGCTCCAGGGTTAGATTGTGTCTCCTTCATATTCAGATACGAAATCTTAACCCTTAACACCTCAGAATGTAATTTACTGGGAGAAAGGACCTTCACCTATCTTATCTACATTAGTCTTTAGGGTGAACCTTGATACGGCTGATGTATTTATAAAAAGCAGAAATTTCAGCAACCTCTGTACTATTTTCCATAATGGCTCTAATTTACATTTCCACTAAAGGCAGAAGGGCTCCTTTTGCTCCAAGTCTTCCCCAACTGCAGAAAAAATGATAACTGTTTAAGGTGATGGATATGCTAACAGCCCTGATTTGATCAGACACAATGCATACATGTATGGAAACACCATATCACACCTCCTAAATGTGTATGATTATTAGGTGTCAATCAAGAAAGGAGAGGGGCTTGGGGATAGACACATCTGGAGAACACAATGAGCAGGTGAAGCCAGAGACCAGAGAGCCAAGCAACTCCAAAAATGAAGATGCTGCAAACCACCCAGAGTTAGGGAGACACCTGGACCAGGTCCTGCCTCAGAGCCCAGGAAGGGACCAGCCCTGCCAACACCATGATCTTGGACTCCCTGAGCCAGGGTTGCCAGACAACAAGTTGCTGTGGCTCAGGCCACTGGGTTTGGTGTCCTCTGTGATGGCCACCCTAGCAAAATAAGTCACAGGGGAGGCATTGGTGGGAGGTGCTGTGTCTATCCCAGTAAGGTGCACTGACCTGGTACTTGGGACCAGGTCTCTCCCGTGACAGACCACTGTGAGACACCATGGCCACCTAATGCATCCCGACCCACTGAAGAGGTTGCCCTCTCCACTTGATGGGCACACTCTATGACAAGCCCACACATTGCTTCCCTGAGGGCAGCAGCCTCATTACTATCAGCACTGTTTGCCGAGGCCCAGCTCTTAACTGAGGCCCTCCCGCCAAGGGCCCTGACACAGGTGACAAGCCTAGTCACACTCTCTGAGGGTTCCTGCCCCAGCCAGACGTGCACACTGAGGAGCATTCCCTGTATAACTAACCCAGTTGCAGCCACCTGGTCGGATACCCTTTAAGGCCAACCCTGGATGAGAAGCCCAGTCCTTGTTCAGTACTCCTCTGACAAGGGAAAAGCTATGTCTCAGAAAAATACCAACAGCATGGTGCTCTTTATAAGAAAACATGGCTGAAAACTTTGTGGAACATTCCTTATTCTTCCTGGTCACATGTAACATAGGCCCGTTCAGAAAAATGTCAGAGAAGTTCACATCAAAAGAACAGTGGTTATTTCTGGAGAATAAACCTGGGTTTAGAGGCTGTAGACAGACTGTTAGCTTTCAGCCAGAATGTTCCTCTTTCTCTCTCTTCTTTTTCTAACCAGGTGACTATGTTAGTGGATTGTTTGTGTGATTAAAAATTAACTTGAAAAAAAGATATTCACAAAACAGCATTTATAGTATAAATCTATTTTGCTAAAATAGATTCTATCTTACTAAAGATGTAGTAAGAGAGCTACAAAAGGAGAATAGGGAAACATGAATTATACTGTTAAAAGCTGGTATCTCCACATAGGGTAGTAATGGATGGGATTTGAAGGGAATTCTGACTCTCTATGATGTGTGGTATAGTATGAATATTTGTGTCACCTCCAAATTCACAATAAAACTTAATTCCCAGTGTGAAGGTATTTGGAGGTGGGGTCTTTGAAAGTCTTCCCTCATGAATAGGATCAGTGCCCTGATAAAGGAGGCCTACGAGATATCCTTTCCTCCCTCTGCCAAGTGGTCACAGCTAGAAGGCACTGCCTACCACCCAGAAAGCAGGCCCTCATCAAACATAGAATTTTCCAGCACTTTGATCTTGGCCTCTCCACCCTCCAGAACTGTGAGAAATAAATTTCTATTTGTAAGTGCCCCCAGTCTGTGATATTTTGTTACAGCAGCTTGTGCTGACTAACACAATGTGCTCACAAAAACCTCTATAATGCTTTCATTTTTTAAAAAAAGCATGTACTGGCATTGGGAAAAATACTAAAAATATGAAAAAAATCAGTGGAAGAATCTGGGAAGAGTTTAGAATAAATGATTCAGTCAGTCTTAGTAGGAAAGCATTCAAGCAAGAAGTTGGGCCTACTATGTGATGGGCCATCTGTCACTTATGGCTATGGGGATTGTGCCCAACAGCTGCACAAGTTGGGCACAATCCCCACAGCCATAAGTGACAGATGGCCCATCACATAGGGGAAAACTGAATTGGATTGGGAAGGGGCCTTTCCAGGAAAAGTGTACCAGCAGCAGTGAGGCCTGCTGTAGGGTTTTGCCTTAGGAAGTTGAGCCCCATGAGCATGGTTGGGCTTCACAAAGGAAAACCCATCTCATTGTGCCAGGGGGTGCTACTTGGGTTGTTATTAGAATCCTCCAACCTGACATAGGAAGAGCTTTGTTGGCAGTTATGGGGCCTGATTTACAGGGAAGGACCTTGAGGTTATAGTTTAGCTTCTCAGGCCTGAGGGGAAGTGGCTGTCTGGATGGTCAGGGATTCAAAAAGGAATTTGCCCAGGGAAAGCTGTTGGGTCTAGACATTTGTGGAACCTCAGAGGGCATGTGGGGCCTGCCACTCTGGGAAAGTGGCAGTACTTAAGCTGTCAAAGGGGAGATCCTAAGGGACAGGGGATGTGCCTCTAGAGGAGAGCCTCTGCACAGGCTTTCTGCCCCACCCCACCCCACCCCTCCTGGGGTTCTCTCTCCCCCATATGGACGTCTGGGAAGATGGGTGGCTTGGGGCAGGAGATGAAGGTGGACACAGGAGCTCACAGGGCACTCCTGACCTTACCCTGATACTCCAGCTTGAATCCAGGCCGGTTCTGGGAGTGGTCGCTGTGGAAATACACGGTGGTCTCATGGGAGGTGGAGAGCAGGGCGCTGGGGAGCTCGCTGCCGCTGAACCTGCCCATCATGCGGCTGGTCTCGTAGGGGCCGTTCCGGATTTCTATGAAGTCATGGTTGGGCTCCGTGGAGAAGTTCAGGAACTGGATGTGAGCTCCTGGGAGCACAATAGAGGCAGATAAAGCCACAGCCACGCAGTCCTGCTTCAAGTGTGCCCCCAGGAAAGCATCCCCAGCTGAGCCCCCACCAGGGGAGTCCCCACCACTGACTTCCCACCAGTCATGGCAGCCAGGATGTGCTTTTTGAGTTGCTGGTTCAGTTCCTTCTCTTGCCTTTAGGTTGGACCTCCCCCCCCCCCAAAAAAAAAAAAAACCTGTTATTCATTCCAAAGTGAAGGCATCGAACTTTTCAGAGTTCCACCCTGAGTCCATCTGACTTCCCTGAATGCAAAGTTCAAGATTATCCCTTGATTTAAGTGAGTGACAAGTCTAATATCAATATAAAGATTGCCTCACTAAAATAAATGCTTTACTTAAAAATAACAACCCCATAATTACTCAAAAGGCATGACCTTTAAAACTGGTATTTTCTATTTCTAGTATTTTCTAGAACCTTTCACATGACTCAGAAACACAAGGCTTAGAAGTCTACATTGTCCCGTCTGTTCCATTAAGAAGCCAAATGAAGTTCACACTTTTGGGGATCTTAGTGGGTTAATCAAGATCTCTTAGCAACCTGACAGGTGAAATGAATCCAATTAAATCCCTAGTTTACATATTTATATGTGCTTTGGAGAATGGGAGGTAGGAACATGAATATCTGTTTACTGTTAAGATTTTTCAAAATTGGATTACTTTGAAAAAAATGTTACTGGACTGAGGCTCTGGCTCAGCTGTAGCGTACTTGACTGGCATGTGTGAGGCACTGGGTTCGTTTCTCAGCACCACATATAAATAAAGAAAGAAAGAAAGAAAGAAAGAAAGGTCTATCACAACTAAAAAAAACATTTTTTTAAAAAAGTGTTACTGAAGAACTCTCTTTACTGAGCACAGGAAAATACCCACAATATATTGTCAATTGTGAAAATCAGATTTCAAACTAGCATATAGAATCCAATTCTAATTTTCTTGGGTGAAAAAACCTAGAAGAATATTCATTCATTTGCCCACAATATTTTCGGAACATCTGCCCTGCAGTTGGACTGTGTTTGGCATTCTAAAGGATGAACAAGATCAGAGAGTCTTCAAGAGCATTATATTTTAATGGTGGGGACTAAAGCTGTTACCGATTATCTCTGCATGATAGGATTACAGACTGAGTCTGATTTTTCAAATTTGCTCATCTGTACTTTCTAATTTTCTTAGAATGAACATATCTATGTAATTGAATTGCTTTTGCAACTGATTATGTGAAGAATAAAATAAAGATTTGACATATAATGTTGAGGACCCTTCACTTCCTGCCCTGTCCCATTCCCCCCTCCTTTCTTCCACAGAAGAAGTCACCAGCGTGAATTTGGAAGATATCCTTCCAGTTTAGCTGTAGATGCTTAAATATATGTGTGGGTTTACTGTATTTTAAACATTTACATAAATGATATTATGTTGTACATACAGTTTTAAAAACCTATTTATTACTCAATACTGTGCTTTCCAAGGTCAATCCATGTTAATATACAAAAATACAATGCATTCATTTTAACTACATATTAAGCAAGTCTATCTTATGATTACCCAAACACACAACTCACCCTCCTTCTAATGAAACTGTAGACTGTTTACAAGTTACAGTTTTGTGATGAGCATCTCTACCCATTGTCAGTGGAGCCTGTGTCTGCCATTCCACCCCCTGGGCACCTTTCCATGTTGGAGAGCACTGTCCTTGGTGCCCATAAAGGGCTCTTTAAGGAGCTGTTGGAAAGAGCTGGGCTGTGCTCGCCATCTAGTGGTAGCAGTGTATAAATGCAGAGGCTCTTTATCCACCTGCAGGGGAGGGGGGACCTTGGTCTGTGTGACCCAGCCCGAAGCAGCTTTGCTCCCTACAGGTAAGTACCCAGGATTTAGAGACAGAGCGTCTGTGTGGATGAACATAGGCCTCACGGGGAACAGGCACCCGTTTAACCTCGTTTGCCTCTGCATGTGGCCCTCTCCCTGCCCTCTATCAGCCTATGTTCCTCTGCTCCAAGCCTGAATGTAGAGCTATGGGGGCTCCCAGATTCCCTTTGCTCAACCCCTAAAAAAACTGGGGTGTCCCAGGGCTGCCAAGGTGTCATCACTTTGCACCCAGTTTCCTTCAGAAGATGGTGCTACATAGAAGACTCTGGACTTAGGAAAGTCATCAACCTCTCCCTTCCCTTCCCTTCCAGCTGGCTTTAAAGAAGCCCAGCGAGACCTAGTTGTCTAATCAGAAGACACACTCCTGGCCGAATAAAAGACAAAGTGAGCAATCTTCATTTCTGAGGCTCCTAGACTGGGAGGTTCCAGCCTGTCCAGAATAATTCCCTTGGGACATTCTTTCCTAAGAGCAGAACAATTGATGATTTGGGTGAGATGACCCCTGTGTACAGCCCATCAATTTCCTGTCAGTGCACAGCCTTTATCCCTTCAACAGGGGATATTTGAGGTCAAATTATATTCCTCTTCATGATGCATGAATCGCCAGCAGTTAAATTTCTTACCCAGATTAATGTCCTCCACACCCAACAACCTGCCATGCCTGGCATACAGTCCATGTCCCCTCCCCCTACTGCCCTCCCAATCTCTAGGCCAGCTAGAATGTGCCTAGGAAGAATGCAAACTTGATTTCATATTGACCTTGGCTCAATTTAATTAGGATGATAAATCAGATAGGAGAATTAAAAGCACAACTTGAGGCCCAGTCTTGGTAGAATAGATTTCTTCTTCTTTTTTTTAAACTGTCCTTGGGTAACTTCTCATTCCACATCTCTGGATTTTAGTTCACTACTCAAATGATAATGATAGAAACCTCTAAGATTCCTTCCCCCTTGAACTTTCATCTCTGTCATTCTTTTTTTTTTCTTTTTAAAGAGAGAGTGAGAGAGAGAGAGAGGGAGAGAGAGAGATAATTTTTAATATTTATTTTTTAGTTTTTGGTGGACACAACATCTTTCTTTGTATGTGGTGCTGAGGATGGAACCAGGCCGTACGCATGCCAGGCGAGCGCGCTACTGCTTGAGCCACATCCCCAGCCCCCATCTCTGTCATTCTTAATGCATCCTCAGGGATGCAAGAGGTCACCAAGGGAGACCAGAGAAGCATAGCACTGATCAGATGTGGCCGAGGTTGTACCGAGATGGCTGCAGACCACTGTTTTAACCCAGGGGCCTGGGCTGGAGGTACCGCCTTCCCTAGGAGGCTGTGGAGACTCACCAAAGCCCACGGGCAGCACTATCTTCCAGGAGCAATCCATGTTGCTAGGGTAGTTGCCTGGGAAGCCGGGGCTCAGGATCACCCCCTCCAACTCTTCCACTGCTCCTCCGCACTGCGCTGTGACAGGGACATGAGACAGGGTGTTAGGACAACATCAAGGAGACGGCAGCATCATACCAATGTCTGGCAGCTTTTAGAGCAGCTACTTCAAACCTTTCCAGAGTCATAAGCCCCTTTGAGAATCCAAAGGAATCTCCCCCAACAGCTGCACACCTGGACAAAACTGAGTCTGTAAATTCAGGAAGTAAAGCACACTCTAGGGTAAGTAGGAGTCCACACACCCAAGTGATGGCTCTTGACCTTGAGATCAAGATCACAGATCAGTGCCCTTATAAACAAGGCATGCAGGAAAAATGACAGGGGTCCACTCCAAGAGAAGTCTGACCTTGTCTTACACTATCACCCATTTCTCCCTCTCCTCATTTCATAGCCCAATCGACTCTTCCAAGACTGCAGAAAAATGAGAAAGGGAAGGGAGGGGATTGCTATGCATCCTGTCCCCACTCTGTGCCAGGCTTTTTCTAAGGGGCAAACCTCCTGGGATTTTTCATTTGCGGGCCAGAGGTTTCCAAAAGTCATGACAGCTTTGAATGAGAAAGGTTACAAAATCATTAGTCCAAAACTGCACTTGGAACAAATCCAGAACATAAATTATTTTTTTTTTCTGACTTGAACTTGAACTCAACAATACCACTAAAGGATGGAATTGAATGGATGGAAAAATCCGGGCTCTCTTACCAATACAGAGCGGAGGCGGGTAGTTCCATCTCCTCACCGTCCCAGGCATACAGGAGATGTGGGCGTGGCCCTGGAGGAATTAGAAACAGGGATGTGCTGACTGTCCCCAGGGGCACAATTGTATGTACAACCCAGAACAGGGGCCTCGTGTTAAGGAACAAGATATACGAAGACACAAAGGTCCACTGTGGGATTTCAGGTAAAGCAGAGGGAGAGTGATTTTGGGGGAAGGCCAATTATTAACAACCATTACCGAAGAATTCTCATTACTAAAGGTTTCCTTGCGAGATTCCTTTAATTACTAAATTCCCTCATGGCCTTAAAAGGAAAATTAAATTTTGTTAAGGTCCAATCAAACCCAGCTTTGCAGGAACATGTTCTAGGCTGGCTTGCGTTGAATTGTTAAAGTTAGCAAAATCTGTCTTCTGCATGAACAGCTCTGGGACAGGATAATGTCCTCATGGGAACAGGTCCTCATGGGAATCAGGGCGGCTCCCTGCTCTTTGATGACAAGCACCTCTGCTGAGGCAAAGCTGGCCAATCGCAACTCAGGGGACACCTGTCCTGCCTTGGGGTGTCGAGGGGAGATACCTGGAGGGCATAGCCCGGCTCACACTGGAAAGAGACCACATCGTTCACCAAGTAGCGCTCGCCGGTCTTCACTCCATTACTGGGCACCGCGGGTTCTGGACAGCTGCTCAAGCCCACCGCTGGGCAAGACAGAGGCAGACAGAGAGGAGAAAGGACAAGCCAGCAGGTCAAAGGGACAATGGATTCAGGGCTTTCCTGGCAGCAGGGAGGGTAAGGCAGGGGCCCACCTGTGCTTTCTTTGGCTTTAGGCCAGTGCCTCCCACCCTTTACACCTCATAGTGCACAGGCCAAATGTCCCAGGTGCAGGAGGCTATCATCCTGGAGACTCAGGCTGCCCTGCCTGCCCACTGTGGGCCAGGGAGCTCTGGGTCCTGGTTGTAGACCCCCAAGCCTCTCTAGGGGAACCTCTCCCATGTTTCCCCTGCTGCCTGCTCCCAACCTCCCAACTGCTCTCCCTCCTCCTTGCCCTAACACAGTTCCTTTGGGCTGAGATGCTGGAGGGGGCCAGATGCCTGGCTATCCCTGATGGTCCAATAACCAGATCTTAGAATGTCCTGGGAGAAGTTTGCTAGCAGACAAGACTCTCCTCTGCTTTATTTCTCCTGTTGTTTTTGAGGTCGGTCTGGCTTCTTCTTGGGAGAAGTACTGGTGGCTCTTCACATTTGGCCTTCCCTGGGCAGTGCTGGCCCTCACTCACTGCCTGACCTCATAACAGCCCCCGGCTCATCCTCTGCCCCAAACTGCTGCTGACCCAGTCCACCTGCCCTCATAGGCAACTGACATTGCTTTAGATCTCGCCTTGAATCATGGGCCTTCCTTGCTGAGAGGCCTGAAGTGGGTCCCTGGGGCCTATCAAACCAAGCCCAGGCTTCTCATCCTAGGCCTTTGGCACCTTTGCAATCCTGGCCAGGTAGGTCCTTTCTCTAAATCATCTGCACAGGCTCTCAAATTCTCCCTTGCTCTCCCTCTTGGCTTTTCAACTTCAACCTCTGCTCATTTAGTCCTCACCATATGCCCTGCATTGTACCCGGGGCTTGGCGGGGGCACCTGTCCTCGTCCTCCTGCTCCTGCACCATAGTCCCCTTAGGAGCAACACTCACTGAGCACGTGCCATGAGTGAGGCCAGGCTGGGAAGTCACATGCCTCCTGAATCCCCTCGAGGCAGGCCTTAGCCCCCATTTCTCAGAGGAGAACCCTGGCCAGGAGAGGCCCGGCCTGTGCCCTGGAGCCACAGAGCTGGGATTCACATAGAGCCCTTTCTGCCAAGAGGAGGCCCAGCCCCAGCCAGATGCCCTACAGCCTGCTCTGACCCCTCCTTTTCTCATCCCCATCCCCCAGGCCTCCAACTCATCCTTAGCCTGCTGAGTCCCTTTCTGGCTGATGCACAGCACCCAGAAGGGCAGGGGTCCTGCCAGGGGGCTTTGTGCTTCTCCTGTGCCCCACAGAAGCCCATCTGCAGGTAGAGGCACTTCAGATGCACAGAATAAATTCCTGTGTATTGGTGGACAGAACACGGAGTGCCCTTCTCCAGGAACTAGGAGGCAAAGGGGTGACTGTGTGCTGAGTGCTCTGTTTGCTTTAAACTATGCTTCTGCACCCAGGGAGGCAGGACAGGGGGCGGGGACACTAGCTGAGCAGCCTCTGCCCTCCTGGTGGCTCCCTGGAGAGATACAGGCTCCCAGGGTGTCTAGTGCCTTCAGGGAGCCAGGTGTCCATGGAAAAGGAACAGAGAAGGACTGGTTAGCCAAAGCCACCAACCACCAGCCCCATCTTATTTTGTAGCCCTCTTCTGATGAGCCCTCATGCTATATTCAGAAGTGACACTAATAATAAATTTTGTTTCTTTTGAGGACAATTTATATATAACGAAATGCATGAACTACACGTGTACATAGTCAAGTGTGATTGTCATGGTGGTAAACATACCTGCCCCTGTACCACCCAAACCCCCATCAAACTTACAGAGCTGCTCTCCCTCCAGAAGGCCCCTCCCACCCTTCCCAGGCAGCTCCTGTCCTACTTGTTCTTTGAAGATGTGAGTGTGACTCTTGGATGTGAAGCCTCTTCAGGCCTGTGTCCAAAACCTCAGCAAAAGAGACAAAAGACCCCAAGGACAAGGATTAAAACAATCTCCCAGCTGAGCCGAAGGACTTCACCTTGGCTGTTCAGGTCTCTTTCTCAACAATGCACCTCACTATTTAGTGGGGGTGGTCACAGCTTAGGGACTTGAGGCCTATTCCTGGGAAGATAGTGGTGGCTGGAAGGAGAAGGGGGCAGAGAGCGGAGGGGAGAGAGAACGAAAAAGCATGATGGGGGGAAGGGCACCAGGGAGGAAAACGAGGCTGGAGAGAGGAAAAGCAGGAGGAGGGAAAAGTCCCTTCTCACGCTCTCCCTCACGCTGAGCAGCTTGGTTTTAATCCGTGCTTACAACAAAGGAAAAATTAATTTTTTATCCTATGTAATTTATTACTTTTGAAAGTGTATTGTTCCAACTTCCATTTCAATTAAATAAAAATTAAACATGAGTCATAGAGGAGATGTGACTCTACAGCACCCCTCACCATTCCTGTCTGCAATAGCAGCTCATTCTCCATGTTCTGCACCCTCTTTATAGAGTATCAACAAAACACAATGACAGGGTCTTGGCTTCCAGGAATTCCAGACTCCAAATGTCCCTCATGAGAGGACAGTGCATGGGAAATGCCACCTGGAGAGAACAGCCAGTTCCCCAGACAGAGAAAACCAAGAAGAGACAGGTTTTTTCTGAGAATGAGGCAATTGAATGACAAGCAGACTTAGGGAGGAAGTGCATCTTTAAAAGAAAGAACCAGCCAATAGTTTTAGGGAACATTTAAGGACTCAAAAGAGTTGATAAAGAACCAAAATTGGAGGGACCAGAGAAGAGAGGATAAAGGGAATAATGTGAATTACTGAACAACCCAGGCTATTTCATTCCCCGGGGTGAGTGAAGCCTTTCCTGTGTGGGGGGAGGAAGGTCTCAGAGATCTCTGTCCTGCCCTCCATCCTTCGGGGTCTTGGCTTACGCTGTGCCTTTCCCATCAGGTGCACGCTTCAGTTCTTTAGGGGTGGGGTATCCGGGGATCCCGCTGGCCCTCCCTCCACCACCTGGATAGAGTTCATTTTTCTAGGAGACCCAGGCCTCTAGTGCCACTAGAGCCTTCCATCTGAGGGGCCCATGTTGACGCAGAGAGTGACACCAACCATGCCTTCCCACATTTCCTGCTTCTCATTCCACACCTAGCTCAGGCATCTCCTTCTGCAGGGCCTTACTTGGCTAAGTCTAGCTCCCTTCCTCTGTATTTCTTGAGCATATCAGGCTGCACTAAAATAACTGTTTCCACGTCTCTCTCTCCCCTACACTCTGAAGGCAGGAACCATCTCTTATTTTTGTTCTGCAGGGACCTAACCCAGGGCTTGGTGCATTTGTTTGATACTCAGTGTTTCTTCATGACATTCACCTTCCCATCTGCCCAGAAGAAGTGTTGGTTTTCTCCTTTGAGCCACTGCTCTGCTGTCTAGAGACATCCCTGTGAGCTCCGGTAATGCTGTGATGTTCTTCTCTAGGTATCTGCCTCTGAATGGCTGACTTGGAAGGGATTAACCCATCCTGATCCCACCCGGTCCTAGCACAAACCAGCAGAGCACCTGGCACATTGTAAATGCTCAATGATTATTTGCAGCCACCTGCCTGGTCTTTCCTGTACCCAGTGGGGAAAGGAGTCAGGTGAGCAGTCCCAGGATAAATGCAATCTCCCCACAAATTCTTTATGCCCCCCAGCCCTTTTTGTTTAGAGTTTTAATCGTGACCACTTAAGGAAGCTGAAAGTCAAGATATAGGGGTTTGAGCCCAGAGGGAAAAATCTTGTAGGAGAAGAGTGAAGTTTCTAATGAGAGAAGAAACTTTGAAGACAATTGGATCATAGAACCAAGGATCAGAGAGGCCAGTTTGCAGGCTTGGAGGAGGAGAGCACCTCCACATTCTCATATCCCAATTTATATACTTGGGCTGAGGCCAATGACCAAGCCTCTTTCCAATTCTTGATTTGGACTCAAAGGAAGCTCACAGGTTGGACACTCCTGGTGGGACCTGGCTCTCCCATGCTCATTGGCTATGCAGACTTGGGGAGGTTCCAGACCCTCTCTGAGCCTTAGCTTCCTCACCTAGGTAAGGCTTGAGTGGGATGGAGAATGTACAGCCCCAATAGAACCCCTGCTCGTGGAGGGAACCCAGTAATATCTGTTCCCACCCTGACCCCCCAGCCAGCCAAGATCCCGCTTTCTCACTTTTGTACTCCAAGTGGAAGCCGGCGGCAGACACACTGATGTCTGAGTAGAAGTGAAGGTACAGTTGGTTGGAGGTGCTGTTCAGAAGGGCAGGCATGGTGGTCCCTGGGTAGGGAAACCAGGGATCATTTAGGCATAGCCTCCCAGGCCCCCCAGCTCCTCCCTGTTCCTCTTGATTCTGCTGCCTGTTGACAGGCAGCTCTCAAGGTCCCCAAGTGTCCTCAGTGTTATCAAACTCACTAAATGACAATGGGTATCGCTTAGAGTGCCAGGTCTTCAATGGCCACGGGAGGGGAGACTCTACACCATTCCCCTCAAGATGAGCACCGCTGTGGTCATGCACCAGCTAAGCGGGTCCGCACCCAGCCATCTTCAAAATGACTCTGCTATGTGAAATTGTCTGGGCAACCCAGCAGTGCAGACAGTTTATCTGGGATCACATGATTCCTTTTCATATCTCAAAAGCATGGCGTTCTGGACCTAGCAGATTCGGTTAATTGCCCTGGCCATTGGGCAATTATAAATACACACTACCTGCAGGCAGAAGTCCATCACTGGAATGGAGACTGGTGTGGCCACTTTGGAAAACAATTTGGTAGTTTCTTAGCAGGTTAAATTGAGTTTCCATATGGCCCAGCAATTCCATTTCTAGGTATCTATCCAAGAGAACCGACAATACATGCTCACACAAAGACTTATGTGTGAAGAGTTCTCACTGGCGTTATTCATAGTGGCCCCAAATTGGAAACAAACCAAGTGTCCATCAACAAATGCACAGGTGGACAGCCATGCAATGAAGTGCTGATGTACCACTACTTGGTGAACCTTGGAAACACCGTGCCAAGTGGCAGAAGCCAGACACAGAGGCCACAGAGTGTGTGATTCTGTTTATGTGAAATGCCTGGAACAGGAAAATCCAGAGATTGAAAGATTAGTGGTTTCCAGAGGCTGGGTGTGTGTGTGTTGGGGAGGGGTAGGGAATGAGTACAAATGGTTTCCTTTTGGAATGATAAGCATATTCTGGAATTAGATAGTTGGGGAACCCTGTGAATATACAGAAAAACTACAGCACTGTATACTTTGAAATGGTGAAATTTATGGTTTGTCAGCATCAGATTTCAAAGATGATGATATTTATTACGATCTCCAAATTGAAGCCTCAGAAGCTCTGGCTTACCTGAGAAACTCCCCAGCATGGTGACGGTGTTATCTGCACCATCAAATACTTCCAGGGAGTCCCAGTTCTGCTCTGTGACAAAACTGATAACTTGAATCTGGGAAGGCAGAGGGATTGACTTGTTGGTTAGGCAGCCCGAGTCCCTCCCTCCCTCCGCTCTCCTCCTCACCCATAGTTGATTTATGGAGTGCCTGCTGGGGGCTGGACACTTGTGAGGCCCTCCCCACCAAGGCAAGATGCAGCCCCTCCCCTGGGCTCTTGCCCAGTGGGGAAGACAGATGTGAAGTGAAAGATCACCAGGCAGTGGGCTTCTCTGCAAGGTGGAGAACGGGGAAAAGAGATTCCAGGAATTGGGAAGGCTTGAGCCTGGCCGGCCCTTCTCATCTCTGGAATATTCCTTGGACTTCCCCACTTTCCTGGCTCCCTGGCATCAGACATGCTACAGCAATGAGCCAGTCGTGTAGCTCCAATCCCAGCCTGTGGCCTCTCTCTTGGCCTGGTGGGCTCTGGATCCTCTTCCAGGCCTCCACCCCAGTTCTGGGCCTCCCTCCACTTGGCTGTCATCCTGGGCACCAGTGATACCCCCATTTCAGCTCCCTGGGTTCTCCACACTTTACCTGCACTTGGCGCTTGCTCATTCCCCTCAGCAAGGTCTCCCCTTCTACCCTCTACAGTCTAAGAAAAGCATCCTTCAAGCCCAAGAATCCCCCATCTTTACATTCTGGTTCTAGGTCCACTTCCTTCTCTGAGCCTGCCCTGCTGGCCTGAGCCCAGGCTCACCTCTCCTCCTTTCTGAGTTATCTGACTCCCTCCTTATGCCCCATGTGAGCTGCTTTGTCCTTTCATGTGTGGCCACACCTCCACACCTGGACTGCACCTCTTTAGCTGAAGGGGCAGGGACACAGTTGGGGATCCTCCTCTTGGCTCAAGGCTGGGTCACATCTAGCACCTGTGGGCAGTGACCTGCCCAGGGCTCCTACCTGGATGCCTGCACCTTCAGGGACCATGATCTTCCATACACAGTTGAGGCTGTTGAGGTAGGGCTCTGGGAAGCCGGGTGACAAGATGGTGCCCTTGCGCTCCGTCAGATTGCCTCCACATGGCACTGGGAGGAGACATAGCACTGGTCAGCGGCCTCTTGCACTTGTCCTTGTGGCTCCTTGGGAGCCTCCCCAGACAGACTCCTCCCTCAAGACCCCAGCCTCTGCTTCTGACTCAGCCTCTTCTGGCCTCTCCTTTTGACCCCGAGTCCTGCCCTTTTTCTTCTGTTCTTGGCCTCCTCCATGACTGTTCCCCAGGGACTTGGACCCCAGCTCCTCCCTTCACAAGCCTCCCTCACCCAGCTCCTCCTCGCTGTCTTCACTCCTGGCCCGCAGGACCAGAGAGTGCTGTGGCCTGAATGGGTCGCCTACTTAAGGTACATGCTGGGAAGGGCTGCTTTGTGGTTTAGGGCATCTGTGGGGACAGATTGCCTCTCCAGGGAGAGAGGTCTCCTGGCAGCCCCATCCTGGTTGCCCAAGTACTCACCCACGCAGGTTGGTGCTGAGACGTTCCACTGAGCCAAGGCCCCAGGCACAGGGAGGCACTGGATTTCTGGGGACCCCTGCAGGGCATAGCCGGAATTGCATTCGAAGCGGACGATGGCTCCCACTGAGAAGTCACTGCCCAGCCTCTTGCCATAGCGGGGTTCTGGCACAGAGCTGCACTGCGTGGCGCTGGTTCGGGGCACCGCTGCAAGGCGCAGGGGACAAGGGCACTGAGGGGAAGGTCTCATTCCTTTAGAAACTGGGTGATGGATGCACACACAATGGGACTTTGATAGACACTCTGGATGGGACCCTGGGAGGCCATGGGCAGTTTCCCTTAGGGGAAGGGTAGGTTCTCTCTCTAGGATGAGGTGCATTTTCTGAATATAGTTGGACACAAAATGTTGCAGCACAGTTTCTGGGAAACCATGGGGTGGAGTGGGGGTGGGGAACAAGGGAAAGAACCCTGCAGGCAAACATCAGGCCAAGAGCTGCTCTTTGCTTCCCAAGGATGCCCCTTGCTGATTAGGGTCCTGCATTCCTTAGCAGGGAGAATGGCCCTTCCTCCTTCACTGTCAGCCTGCTTTTGGCTTCTCCTCCTCGGATGCCTTAAGACCCTCTCTAGGGCTGCTCTCCAAGACCTGTTCACAATGGCAGATTGTGGAACCCTTTAACCCAGGCTCTAGAGATGGCACCTGTGTGGCAGGATTACCCCTATGCAGGAAAATGCATCTTATCCTGGACAGAGTCAAATACATAGGGCCAAGTTGGAACCTGGGCCCTAGGAAAGTGTATGTTCTCCTGGACAAGAGGAGGCTGGGGCCACAGGTAAAAGCTGGGGTGCTCTAAGACATTGCTGTTCTGGACAAAGATGGGAATGGACATCGATTGCCTGGTACCAGCTAAGCCATGAACTCTTTTTGACCTGTCAGTGAGGACCTTGTACTACCCTTGTTCTACACAGAGCAAACTTGGGCTCCAAGGCACCCAGTAGCTGACACCACCTCACCTCAGAGCTTGTGTACCCCATTCCTTACTGTGCCTTGCAAACAAAACCAAGCTCCATGAGAGACAGAGTCCAGGTAAAGAGGCTGGGCTGGTGTCCCCCATCCATCTGGACTGTCCCAGATAGTGGGCAGGAGTGAAACAGTGAGGAATTGGAAGGAGTTAGCCTCCGGGATCTAATTTTCTTCCTCATCCCACAGAGTTCGGTCCAAGAAATGTGTGATTTGGGTAAAGGTTCAGTGTATGAATCTCAACTGAGTGTCAGGGAATTGCCCCCAAAAGAATAATTGCCCCCAGATATCCTGAGAAAAGGTCAGATGAGGGTTTGAAGGTTCCCGTTTCTAGGATCACAATCATGGGAGAGCTGAGATGGCCTCTGAACCTCCAGCGTCCATGTCTTACCTACCTTGGTAAACAAAGTGGAAGCCCCTGGCTGGTGCTTGGCCTTTGGCACTGAACTTAATGAGAACTTGATTGGAGGTGGCCAAGGGTAGAGACTCTCCTGCAGAGATAAGGGGTGAGAAGGGAGGAAGACTGTGAGCCTAGCGGCCGGCTCAACAGAGAAAATCCCAGCCGGGGAGCAGGGGCTGCCCACATCCCACACAGCAGTTTGCTCCACAGTCCAGGCCTTCTTGAAATAAAACCTCACACATTCAGTGTACCTTACAGTTCCAAGTTCGCCCATGGACTTACCTTGACCTGTGGTCATTGGGAGGTTGGCATGGCAGAGTTCAGGACCCTGACTTAACAGAGCAAGACAAGGGGGTTCAGAAAGATTACATGTCCTGCCCAGAAAGGAGAAAGTGGCTGAAGATGTGTTGACCCACAAGGATGGACAGAATGGTCATTACCAAGCTGACTGGCAGTGTACTTGGAAAACTGACATCCATCTGATTAAACAAACAAACAAACAAACAAAAAGACAGAACAAAACAAGGCACTGGCTAGGAAGGAGGGTGACGTGATCACCTGAGAGCAGCTGGCCTTTCCCAGACCTCCTATGAAATTATGGATAAGCAGAGCAATAATGTAATTTATTGCTTATCCTAGGACACTTTTGAGAGTAAAATGTCATGCTATTAATAATTATGCCAGGACATCCAAGTGAAACCTAAAATGGTCTCGGGCAAATCAGGAGGTATTGTCACAACACACTCACTGGGGACATCTACATGGGCAGGGGAGGCTGGAGAAGGTGGGCAGCCTTGGCTGCAGAAGAAAAAGGTCTAGTCCTGTTTGGTGTGGTGCAGATGCACAAGAGGAAGGACAGCACCAACTCTTCTGCAGCCATGAAGCACAGTCCTGCTCCTCATCACCTTCCTGTGGGAGGACTTGCCCAGGGAGACATGGTGGCAGGCAGTGGTATGGCCACTGCTACATGCTTCTCCTGTGCAATCTTATGGGTCCTTGAAAGTGGATGCAGAAGGGAAGTAGGGATCAGAAAGGACCATGCTGGAATTCAGACCTGCCAAGAAGACATTGGGAGCCACTGGGAGGTCCACCAGTGCTTCCAGAAAGCCTACGTGATGCTACTGGTCACAGTGAACAGATGACCTTTTGCACAGCACACTTAAATTTACACATAGCCCAGAGGGCTGGCCCTCTCTAGCTCCTCCTGGCAACAGAGGTGGGCAGAGAACACTCTCCTGTCCTCCCACTGTTTAGTCTGACAGATGTGGGTTAGGACCCCAGGGATGGCTCACACAGCCTGTGACTTCAGTCCAGAATGCATGCAGACCTCCTTCTCTACAGAGCAACATCCCCCGACACAAGAAAAGATTTCAACGTTTTTAGAGAGAAGACCACTCTAAGAAGTCAAAGAAAATATTTCTATGTCAAGTACAACAAAGGACAGCAAAAATCTCAGAAGATTCTTGGTCACGTTTGTCACAAGTTTAACTCAAACATCACATCTGTGAAGTCAGAGGAGGAGGATGTGCCAAAGGAAGGATCTGAGATTAAAGGCCATAAAGGGACAGGAATGCTCATACACAGCTTCTGGACCCTTCAGAAATCAAACAGTGGAGATGAAACATGGGAATTTCTTCCAGGATCCACAGAAAAAGGATGAAGGTTACCAGAACAATAAGAGAAATGACAAGTGACACAGATGATGGATGTGAAAAACCCAATAGACGTATGTCAGGAGTTCCAGAGAGAGAAGGTGGAGGAATCAAAGGAGAAAAAATAATTTACGAAGGAAGATACCTTTCCTACGACTCATGGTTTAGATTGCACCAACTTGCCAAGAGCCAGATCTGAGCAGTGAATAGATATGCCCCTTTACACAGTGGGCTGTGTGATTTTTAAAGGGAAAAAATATAAAAATCATAGGGTTAGAAAAGCATCTGTTATTTACAAGGACAAGGAATCAGGTTGGAACCCAATTTGTTTGTAATATTAAATGTTGGAATAAAGTGGAATAGTTGCTGCAGTTTTGAAAGATAAAGGGTGTGAACCATAATTTGATTTGCAATTGAGTTGTCATTTATATGATATGTCAAAAGAAAGGCATTCTCATACATGCAAGGTGACAGGAAGTACTGTAGTTAGGAGCCCTACTGAAAAAAGGAGCTAAAATAGGGAAATGAAGGATAGCAGTGATAAATACAGCCAGGAAAGTATGGGCAACCCCAAATAATCACTGTTCACGAGGCAGCAAAACTGAGCACAGATGCCAAAACTTGTCCGTAGGGAAGAGATTCATGATTTTAAAATAATCGCTAAGAACAATTAAAAGACCAACAAAAAACTGGGAAATTAGAGATGGGCCAGGTCTGAATGGGAAGGAGGTACAGCAAAGTCAACACAAAACAAGCAAAACCAGAGAGGACAAGCCATTGACAGACACCAGGCCGAACGTTTTACCTGCCAAGTAAGTAAATAATCTTCCTCTTAAAAAGTCTACTATGGAACCAACCTAGATGCCCTTCAATAGATGAATGGATAAAGAAATATACATAATGGAACATTACTCGGCATTAAGAGAGAATAAAATTATGGTATTTGCAGCTTAATGGATGGAGTTGGAGAATATCAGGCTAAACGGAGTAAGCCAATCCCAAGAAACCAAAGGCTGAATATTCTGATAAATGGATGCTGATCCATAATGGGTGTGTGCTGGGGGTGGGGAGAGGAAGAACTTTGGGCAATGGGGAGGGAGAGAGGGAAGGGTGCATGGGGGCAGGAAAGATGGTGGAATGAGATGGACATTATTACCCTAGGTACATATATGACTGCACATATGGTGGGACTCTACATCATGTACAACCAGAGAAATGAAAAGTTGTGCTCCATTTGTGTTCAATGAATCAAAATGCATTCTGCTGTCATATGTAACTAATTAGAAAAAAATTTAAAAAAAGCTTTCAGGGGAAATGAGGAAAGAGAGATAAGGCAGATAGGGATACAAAGGGTATGAAAATTGTTAAAGACATATGCAGACAAAGAAATATCACAATGTGGGAGGTGTTTTAATGCAAGATTCTCCATCATTGCTGTATACAATAGAAAACAAAGTGAGGACGTTCAGTAATGTTCCATAAGCTTTTTTCTTAGCCCCAACACACTATGGACAGTTCACCCCCATCAGTACCGGTGGGGCTCATTATCAGTGTTTCTCCAAGGGAGGAATAAAACTCTCTGAGTATATCAATAATGATAGGTCTAATCTTTCCTTCCTTCCTTCCTTCCTTCCTTCCTTCCTTCCATTTCTATTAGTCCTACACACCTATAACTATACCTGTATCTGTATCCATATTTGCATCCAAAGCTTCTAAATACATACCTACCAATCTCTCATTACCTATAGACCATATACCTATACTTAGGTTTTTATCTCTACAGCTATACTTATATCAGTCAATCAATTGATCAATATTAAAAAGATATCCCATCCTGAGGAGTCCTGATTTATACTCTTGGCTGAGTGCATAAGTGCAGGATAGTGGCATCGAGGAGTCATTTGGTGCAGAATCTCTGATAAATGGATATGAAAAACAAAATTGAGTAAGACTGATCCAATAGCTATTTCAAGGCCCTTTCACTCCTGCTAATAACCCTAGGGGTAAGACTTCTGCTATCTGCCTTTTTCACATGAGGAAACTGAGAGTCAGAGAGGTCAGATACTGTGCTCACGCACTTAGAAAGCAAGGCCAATAGCTCGGACGAGTCCGGTTGGTGTGACTGCAGAGTCCAGGCTGGCCTCTGCTACTGTGTGGCCTCTCAATTCTACAGAGAACATACATTCTTCTCAGATCCTTTGGGGGTTTAAAATCAAAATGTCCTTGGCTACTGAAAGATCTCATTTACTCTCCAAAGTAGAAGTGGCACAGGACACATTCTGTAACCATGTGGCAAGAAAAATAGAAATTAACAACAAAAGTGTAACAATAACAAGATCCAAAGTCTTGCATGGAAAAGAAGAGACATTCTTAGTCAATCCTTGGTCAAAAGTAACATTGTGGGCTACTTAGAAAGTAATGATAAGGAAAGTAGTACATATTAAGATGTGTGGCCTGAAACTGAATATTCTGCTGTAAATGTATTCTTTCTTACATGGGGGGGGGGAACCCCAATTCAAGAAGTTGAACAAGAAGAACAAAATAATTTGAAGAGGCAAAAGAGGAGAGAAATTATGAAATTAATTAGAGGTTGATTAGAAAATAACAATAAACTGTGTAGAAAATTTGATAAATTGGAGCAAGAGAAAAAAATTAAAAACCAACCAACCAACCAGCCAACCAACTACAACAAAAAACACAAAACCTCGCCTACAGTTGAGAAAAAGGGGAACTATGAATACAGCATTCAGCATACAGGGTCAGGGGACATGAGCAGCAAACAAAGTAAACGAAGGATAGTAAACATTATCCTAGTATATTATATGAATTATGTTGCTAAATTTAAAAGAAATTATGAAATTTTTTGGTAAAAAAAATTTACCACTGAAATCAAAGTAATATGCTTGAATAGACCAGTGATCATGGAAGGAAACAGAGAAAGAAAAGAAAAAACACGGAAAAGAGGGCAGCAAAATGAGGTAAATTTATTTGCAAATCACATTGCTTCTTGCTTAATGGCCAAGAATTAGTTGACAATGGTAGCATTATTTTGGAAGGTTCAAAATGAATATACCAAAAATATGACTGTCTTGGAATTTAATAACAAAGACCAGTTAGAAAACACAATGAGGCGAGTAAAAGATCTATTTGTGGCAGCAACACAAAGGGCCACAAAACATCTCAATGAAGTCTCTAGGAATAAAATTAACAACAAAAAAATGAATATTGCTTAAATAAAAATCAGGGCTGGGGTTGTGGCTCAGCTGTAGAGCACTCGCCTAGCATGTTCGAGGTCCTGGGTTCAATCCTCAGCACCACATGAAAATAAAATAAAGATATTGTGTCCATTTACAACCAAAAAATAAAATATTTAAAAAAATTAAAAAAATTTTAAATAAAAATCATTGCACCTTCCCCTAAATTACAAAAGATAAATGAATGGCGAGATAGACCATGTTCCTGGATGGGTAGAAGTGTTCACCTAAAGATGTGGGTTCTCTCTAGTTTAATCTATGTTTTATGAAATTCCAGTCAAATTCTTGATGCAATTTTTTAACTTGATGAAATAGTTCTAAATTTTATTCGGAAACAAAAAAGTAAGCAAGAAAAGTCAATAAAAAGAATTCAAAACAAAGAATGACCATGGGGATTGATAAGAGCATGTATTTAAAATGGTTGTAACATTAAACACTACGATAGTATCGGTAATAGTGTTACAATAACTAAAAGTGATATAAGAATAAACATTGGAGGAAAAGTCAAGGAACAGACCCTTCACTTCATAGAAATTTAATATATGTAAATCTGGCATTTTGAAAATTCTGCTAGGACAACTGATTAACTATAACTGGTTAGATCCTCTGTATCAAATAATAAATCAAAATAAATTCCAAGGGTATTAAGGCAGAACAATGAAACTAAAAAGAAGCAAAAGAAAACACAGAGGAATATTTATTTGATCAGCATAAAAGCAAAGGAGAAAACTATAAAAGGAAACATTGATAGATTTGATATCATGGGAAATTTCCATTTTCTGACATTAAAACACCCCGAAGAAAATTAAATGGCAAATGACAAACTGGAGGGGAAGGCATTTTATAGCATATAATCTAGACAAAAGGTTTTATTGTATATAATGTATATCACTTATAATTATATGGAGCTCTCACTCAATAAATAAGAAAAACAAGTGTTAATGGAAAAATCGACACAAATTTGCAAACAGAAAATACATAGGCGAATAAACACACTATAAAAAGTTTACCACCTAACCAGTAATAAAAAACGGTGAATTAGAAAATGAGATACTGTTTTTGCTTTACAAACTGATGATACTTTGGGTGTCTTAATTGCCTGGTTTCATGAGAATAACACCCTCTTATTCACAGTTGGTGAACAAGGTAGAAAGGTCTTTTCAAAAAAAAATTTTTTAGTTGTAATTAGACACAATATCTTTATTTTATTTATTTGTATGTGGTGCTGAGGATCGAATTCAGTGCCTCGCTTGTGCTAGGTGAGTGCTCTACTGCTGAGCCATAACCCCAGTGCACCCCCCCCCCAAACAGGGGTGTTTGACGATCTGTATAAAAAGCCATAATGATCTCTCATATCTTTTGACTTGGTCATTCTGCTTCTAAGATGCCAGTCAGAGATATGCATAAAGATATACATATAATACCTTGAATTACTTTTTTTAATACCTCGAATTACTCTTAATTAGAGTAAAATATAGAAACAATGTAAATGGCATCTCCAGGGAATTCATACTTACGTATGAATACTTAAATAACTACATGAAACACTAGTAAGCAGCCTTTTAATACCCTGTTATGAAAAAAAAATGTCAGAGAAAAGTTCACAGTTAAAACATGTCTATTGTTTTTATTCAATAAAATATGTAAAAGATGAAGTCTAAGGAGATATAAAGAGTGGAAAGAAATGTAGTACATCTTATCAGTGGTTCTTTCTGGGTGGTTTTAATTTAAATTCTCTGATTATTTCGTTTTGCCCTTAAATTTTCTACAATGAAAATGAAACAACCCTAAAATCAGAAAAAAAAGGCCAGGCCTGCCCTCAAGCCACAGGCAGGGGCCTCGCCCACGGGACCTCCCCGACGGGACCTCCCCTCTGCGGGTGGATGCAAAGCCCCAGGGTCCACCTACGGCCCCTGCTGCTTACAAGGCCTCATTCCTAGCAGCTGGCCTGTGGTGCCTGCCCGCAGCCCACCATCATCCCCTGCTGGCCCTGCCCTGGGTACCTGTGTGGGAGCCCGAGAGGGAGCTGAGGAGCCGAGAGTGCTGGCTGTGACCATCATGCACCTCCACCACGTCGTTGAGGGCCGTGTGGAAGAAGGCGAACTGGCCAAACACCACTGTGGAGGAGACAGGGTGTGGAAACATCAGTGGGAAGACAGGAGAGGTTTGCGTGAGCACAGACAGGGGTCCTGAGGACAGCACCCAAGGTCTAGCTGTTGGAGGTGGCCCTGAGCTAAGCTTATTCCTTCTGAGAAAGCAGTGACAGCAGTTAATTGAGGTCTTGAAAGGGCTTTCAGCAATATCCCCATTTTCCATGTGATCTCGGAACCCCAGATTCTCCCTTACTTTTTCTTTGAAGCTGACCGGATACCCGATGTTCCACGGTTAAGAGGGATGAGAGTGGGGAAGGAGCTCCTGGGGAAGGAGCAACTGTCGATGGAGCAGGCAATATCTCTACCTCATTTTGCCCAAGAGAGAGCATAACATTTATTAAGCACCTATTGTATGTCAGACACCACCTTTGCTATATGCACCATCTCTGTGACTTTTCCAGAGATTATCCAAATTTTTTAGGCAAAATTCCATTTAGCTATTGGCCAGACCTGGGTTCATTCTGTCTGCTCCTGACTCCCAGTTGGCCTGGTATGCTGATGGCAAGAGCTTGGGTAGACCCTTCTCCACTTTGGCTCATAGCCTTAATTATGTACAAAATACTGTATGTGTGTGTATGTTGCATGCATTGTGTGTGCAAGTGTGTTGTATACGTGTGTTGAGGCAGAGGGAGGGATTCATGATAAGCAAGTGTTTGTAATGCTGAACACAGCAACAGCTGCAGTGAGATCCTTAGCTCTGGACTTATGGGCCAAGGAGCAGGAGGAAGAGAATATTCTGTACCCTGAGAATGGGCACTGGGTTTGGGCTGGTGGCAGGGGCATCTCCCTGCAGTGGTGGACAGGACAGGTGGGGTTACTGCTTTCCCAGAGTGTGCATTCTAGTGGGACAGCCCCATCCAACCCACACCAACACTTAGCAACTAGATAAACAAGGTCATTTCAGAGAGTGTTAAGTTTTGGGGTGATGGACAGAAAGAGAGGGTGAGGCAGGTCACTTTAGATAAGAGACCACAGGAAGATTTCTGAGATGATGTCAGAGCTGACAGCTGAGCTGGAAGATAAGTGATCCAGTCCCAGAGGGGAAAATATACCCTTTATCTGGGTTCAGAGGTTGGCCTCACTGGCGAAAAGAAGATGCCTGGAGCAGATCTCTGCCCCTTTAGAGCCAGTGCCCGCAGACAGATTTCAGCTCACTGACACTGAGCAGCCTCAGGGCTGACTGGGTGCAGAGGGGTAAGCGCCTTGTCATTGGAGGAATGTAAGCATGAACTTCATGTCTGCCTATCAAGGATGCCGCTGAGTAGCAGATGGGATTGGGCAACCTGTCACGACTCTCCCTTGATCCTGCAGTTCTAAAGCTCCTGCCACATAAGCATGCTGGGCAGTGAAGGTCCTGAGGCAGGAGCAAGTGCACAGGTGTCTGGGGTCCTGGGTGAAGATGAGACTGGGAGTTTAAAGGGACAGGAGCTGTCTCTCCCATTGCAGTGGCCCTCCTACAAAGAGGAGGTTCAGGAAGAAAGCAACCAGGCTGGCCACCTGGTTGCCCTTTAGGATCTTCTTGAATGCTTTAGGGCTGGCAGAACTCCTAGATGTCACCACTGCCCAGCAGGTGATGGATGAGCTTGGCTCCTCCTGTCTGGATCTCTTGGGGTCTGGAGGTTTCTCGTCTTCTCAAGGTAGTGGCTCCCCCCACATTTTTCTTGTCCCTCCTATCCATAGCTCTGGGCCAGGCTGTTTTTCAGATGGGACATGGGTGACATGGCTCCTGTATCCCTTACCTGCACTTTCAAGCCCAGCTCCATCCTATCCTCCCCCACCTTCTTGCTACTGGGCCCTCTGCCCCTCCACTCAGTCACAGTTGTGCTGGGGATCCTTCGGGACACCTGGCCTCTGTCTGGGTAGCTAGCTCCTCATCAAGTTCTTACCCTTGCTTCTGGCCAGCCTCACTTGAGCCCTTTTCTCCAGTGTCAGGAACACCTCCAGCAGTGTGTTTTGGAGCATCAGCACTCAGTGTCCTGATGAGATGCTGCTCTGCCAGTGCCCACTAGGGAGTGGATTACTGGGAAAGGCCTGAGGAGTTGCCCAACTTGGAATAAGGGAGAAGAGTCAGGAAACATAAAAACAAAATAACACATACCGTAGTCCTTGGGCACGGTCACAAAATACAAGCAGATGTGTCCGCTGGTGTAGTTCTGGGGGTAGTTGGGAGATAGGACCACACCATCTGAACCCACATACTGTCCCCCACAGGGAGCTGAAAGAGAAACCGGGTAGGGGGCCAGGTGACCCTGTGGGCTTCTAATTAACTGCCCATCCTCCTTCTTGCTCCTAGCAGAGCCCCTGGTAGGGCTGCCCTGAGAAGGTGGCCCTGAGCACGGAGAAGGGGAGCCCCCAGAACACTACCCTTCCCTGATCAAGGACACCCGTTCCTGGCCTGGCCGGAAACCCACCCCAGTGCTCTTGGACACACATCAACCCTTGCCCTCTATTAACACTGGCACTGGTCCCTGAAAGCACAGCTCTAGGGTGCAGGTCAGGAGCTCTCCTGCTCACACATGGGGCTTAGAAAAGACTGTTATGCTTTCCAGTGGCAGATGTGTGTCTGGGCAACTGGTGTCTCATGAGTAAGAGGCTGATGTTTGTTCCCTCACACTAACCCACTGGGAGTGGCCACCTTCTGTTTCCATCTCTGGTGCCAATTTCTGCAAGAGAAGGGCTGCTCTCGCTCATGGAGGCAGAAGGGAGCCTGTACTTTTCTTTCTTTCTTTCTTTGGGTATCAGGAATTGAACTCAGGGGCACTTAAGCACTGAGCTACATCCCCAGTCCTTTATAATGTTTTATTTATGGATATGGTCTCACTGAGTTGCTTAGGGCCTCAACAAGTTGCTGAGGCTGGCTTTGAACTTGCCATTCTCCTGCCTCAGCCTCCTGAGCCACTGGATTACAGGTGTGCACCACCATGCCCCCCTGAGGCTGTACTTTTCAACTTGGGTAGTCCTGTGCTCTTGAGTTCTGACATTCTCTCCCCTGTTAGGACCCCACAACTGACCCAGGCCCACTTGGAGGTGGCCCACTCCATGGCCTTACTCCACACAGTAGAGCCCTTAGTGATTTCCCCAAGCTCAGGAACAAGCCCAGGGCATGTTAGGCTCCCTTCCCCTAGGATATGCTCTCTGGGCTGTGTGTTTATAGGCTTCTATTGAGGACATGAGCAACCATCTGAATAAACAGATCACTATGTGATCCAAGGGAGATGACACATTGACAGGGACTGCCATGCCACGGGTTATTAGCCGTCCCCAGTCACAGTACCCCCATGTTTGCTGGCCCTGCTTGCAGGAGGCACCCTTGAACACTGTGTCCCCTCCCCCCTCCCCCAGCCAACAGCATGCCTGCTGTTTCTCAGACCCTTCTGTCCCCAGCTCCCACCACCTGTGCAGACAGGCCGTGGATTGTTCCACACGGGCTTCCCATCAGGCCCCAGGATGCAGCTCAGGGTCGAGGAGCCCTCCACCTCGTAGCCGCCGTGGCAGTAGTAGGTGATGGAAGAGCCCAGTTTGAGGTCAGACCCCACTCGTGTGCCATTCTTGATGGAACCAGGGTCAAAGCATGACTCTCGTGGGTTTTCTAGAAAAACAGACAAACACATCCACATGCAGAGGGCTCATTAAATACCTGCTTCCATGAGGAACACCTAGAGACTGAGGATTGCTGGTTCTATTCCCTTCAGATCTAGAAATATCTCCACATTTGGTTAGAAATCTGAGCCTGGAAATCATGGAAGAGTGAAGCTGCCCACAGGTGCTTCTGGGAACCAGTGTCCCCACCCCACATCATGGTGCCATGCAGGGCTACGATAGTAAATGTCAGTGCTCAGGGAAATACCACTCCCACCTCTGGGTTGGGTTCCTTTAACTTCTGGGATAAGTGAAATTCTCCAACAGAGTTTTCCAGGGCTTTGCACTCAATGTGGAGTGCTTGCCAATTTATTAAAACAGCCACATTTTTCTATTTGGTCATTGATCCTTATATGTATTCCCAGTCAGGCCTACAGGGGATGTGCCTGACAGGCATCTACTCTTGTAGATATCCCTCTGCACTGCATAAGTTGCATTCGATGTTGCCTAAGGGTGGGACTACAGGCAGGTCCTGAGTCCCTGGAGGACTATACAGACTCCCTTGCCATGAGCTCTTGGGAGCTGCTGCTAGCTTCTGTCCATCACTGACTTCCCTTAGTTCTGTTCCAAAAACACTGATAGGCAAGAGGCCCAGCAGGGCTGGGTATTGGAGGGACATAGCCGAAGCCAGTTCATACCAGGGTCATACAACTATGTATCAGACTTTGATGAGAGTCCTGGTGGCTGTCTAGAGATGGGGCTCACAGAGAGGTGCTGACAGCCCTTGCAGAAGGACCCTGGCAGTCAAAGGAAAGAGCCAAGGGATCAGAGTTCAGAGGCAAATAGTTCAGGAGGAATTTTGCTGAGGGCCATCTGTGGTCACCTGGGTACCTTATAGACTAGCTACACAGTGGGCAGCTGCTGCTTGAGGCTGTTATTCAGCTGCCACTCAAACTGTTGACTGATGGGAGAGGATCTTGATACTCTGTCACATCTAGCCGCTCTTGCATTGAGTCACGCTGGGCACAGTATTTTTTAAGTCTTTGCCAGCAGCTGAGCGTGGAGCAGTCCCAGAGACACTATTGCACTGAAACTCAAGTGAGCCCAGAAAACACTCACCTGGAAAAGGGGCCCTTAGCGGTTTCCCTGCATTCCCTGGGGGTGGGGTTGCACCAACCTGACCCCTGCATCAACTCTCTCCTCTCCCTAAACCTTGTGACTGAGGTCAGAACACAATGGCCAGTGGCCCATACCATGTACCAGACACTGGAATACAATAATGAATAAAACTGAAAAACTGTCCGCCTGTCAAAGGGATGTAATAAAATGTCACTGTGTCTTATTCGTGCATTCTCTTCATAAATTCAAAGTGGGTCAAATCTTATTTGAGTTCAGAGAAATTAAGTAATTTGGAACCAAGGTCACTCAGCTCATGCAAAGTAGAATTAACTGACACCCAGTGTCTATCCCCTGCCCTTCATCCTTGAATAATGGAATCCAGATTTGATCCAGAGTTCAAGGTGCCAGCTAAGTTCTACATTTCCCAGCCTCCTGGGCAGCTAGATCTGGCCTGAGAGATGCAAACATGTCAGATCTGGACTGCTGAAGTCAATCCAACAGCCAGCCTCTCCTCTCATTCAGAGTGGGAGACCATCCTTCCAGGCCTGACCTTACTCCATGCACAACATCCATCCCTCCATCTGCCTGGCTCCCTCCCTCACCTCTTTCCGGACTTAACCCAAAACATCTCCATCTTGGTGACATTTTTCCTGAGCAGCTATTTTAAAAATCACAATATTCCTTGCCCTAGTGCTCATCTTCACTCTATTCTGCTGTGTTTCTCTCCACTGTGATTAGTATTCTCTCATCTACTATATAGTCAGATAATTTTTTTCTATCTTCTTCCATGAGAATTTCTAAGTCCCTTCCAGGGGGCAGCTTTTCATTTTGTTCATGACTGTATTGCAGGGCCTGGCCCATGGGAGGCACTCTATAAATATCCTTAATTGGTAAATATGAAAACTTCTAGAAAGGCTGATTAAGGGAAGATGACTCCAGGGAATGCTCATTGGCCTTTCCATCTATCTTTTCTTCTCCTTCCTGCAACCTAGAACTCAGACATAACGGCTGGCACCCTAGTTGCCATCTTGGATTCTAATAACCTTGAGGGTGGGATCCATGGACCAGCAGATGGAGCAGGAAGACCAAAGGTGCCTAAGTGAACCCAGTCCTGCCTGCCTACCTCTAGATTTCTTTCATTGGAAGGACAATAAACTCCCTTCTTGTTTAAGCAACTGCATTGGTCCCCAGCTGTGTAGGACTGCTCCAGGACCTATATGCAGGTTAGAATAACCTTTTGGAACAAGCTGTGTAGCAAACTCCTATTCATTTCAATGCCACCATCTCTGAGCAGATTCTCTCTGGCAGAATCTGATTTTCTTTCCCTGATTATAGCATCACGTTGACTCGGTAGGCTGGGTAAGTGTGTTTCTTTCTAGCAGGTTCTAACCTCCTAGAGGGTAGAGATAATCATCTAGTCCTCTCATAACCTCGGCAATAAGCACAGAACTTGGCACCAGGAGTGGCCATGTTTGGCACATAACACAGGTTTAATAAGCGGCTGCTGGATTGTTTGGCTGAACATTTTGGAGCTTGGAAAATCAACAACCACATCATTGATTCCAACAACAGACTCTATTGTATATTTACTCACATTTCAGAGGAAGTTGGGCTTATCATTCCAAGCATTATCACATTAATAATAATGACGAGGATAATGACAATGATGATAGTCCCTTACATAGGAATATCACCTATAATTTTGAAAGCACTTTGCAATTTGTTATCTCATTTCTGTTTCACAATACCCTCTGCAGAAGGCAGGGCCAGGTAGGCTCATGTTCAGGATACAGATGAGGAATGTGATGATCAGAGAAGCTAAATGAATTTTCCAAGCCATTCAGCTATTAAGAGAGAGAATTAAGACCAAAATCAGGTCTTCAGTCAGCCAAACCAGAGCTCAGCTGTGAATGACAAAATGGAATGACTAAAACATCATGATAATAATAATAAATAAAACTCAGGCCTCCCCCAAATGGGAAAATAAAAAGAATCAGGTCCTAATAGATGAGGTCCACTTCCAAATTTTGTCAAATCAAAAAACTGAAAATAACAATCCAAACATCTGATCAGCAAGGAACTGGTTTGAAAGGTTGGATTAGAGCCATCCTGAAATACATGCAGTCTTTTAAAAGGATAGCACAAGTGTTTGAAAATGAATGTGGGAAGATATCCAAGATCTATTGGTGGGCAAAAATAAAACAGATAACATACTAGTACATATGGTGTGATCACATTCATATAGAATAGGGCTTGGCAAACCACAGCCGGCTGTCTGTGTTTGTAAATAAAGTTTTATTGGAACACAGTCATGCCCATTTTTTACATTCTGCCCATGGCTGTTTCAGTGATTCCACGGCAGAGCCAAGTGGTGGCAACAGAGACCATATGGAATAAGACATTTACTATCTAGCCCTTGGCAGAAAATGTTGGCCAACCCCTGGGATAGAATTTATGTTATTTTATACTTACATAAAACCTTTGTAATGAGGTGATGAACTGTTGACTATGGTCCTTTAGGAGATGGGGGAAGGTAAGGGGAATGTTAAGTTTTTAGAGTACATCTTCCATGTGGTTTGAAGTCTTCCAAAAAAAGAAAGAGGAAGGGGTTTCCATTTTGAATTTATAAAGGAAGACCCACAGCTGTGTCTGGTGAGGGCTGGGTAGGAGCAGGTGGAGGTGGGGTTGGGTTAGAAATCTGGCCATGACTCTCAGGCCCATGGTGTTACGTCCAAGGGTTTGGAAAAGAAAATAGATATATACTAGCACTTTTCTGGTAAAAGTTGATTTATCTTGACCTTTCCTGAGTTGCTGCAGATTCTCTCACAAAACTTCAAACCCTTCCTTCTGAATCCCACCCCCATTCTTGCACAGAGGTCTCCTCCATCTTCAAGGCCCTTTCTTAATGGCTCCTGCTCGGCAAGTCCATCACCAACTACCTACCATTCTGAATGGGTGCCCTGTTATTCTTTCTCAGAGAGGTCTTTTCTTTTCTTCCCTAACTTCGTACACTTCTTTATTTCTGGTTTGTCTCCTTATTGTCCGTTTCTGTCACTCACCTTTAAGTTAGACTGAGGTAGGGACCAGGGACATTTTGCTCATGGCCAAATCCTCAATCTCCAGCAGAAGGCATGGTGCCAAAGAGGAGCCCAGTAAGTGCTTGTTGAATGAACAAATGGTCTCATACACATGCCTGGATGTTCTAGCCTGTTCCTGACTCACAGGAGGCCACCACAAAAGAGGAAAATAAAGGTCCTTCCACCCACCCTTTCTACTGACTTACTGGCCAGAAGAAGGACAGTAAGCCTTCCCTGGAACTCACTGTTAGTGTTTGACGCTACAAGCCACGCTGACCCTTTGCTTCCTCCAGCAAAGGGTAAAGCTTCCCAGGAGTATGGAGTCCAGGGAGAAGTGCCTCAGAGGCCTGGTTCAATAGACGCCCACAGATAACATAACTGCATTCAGAATCCTCTCCTAGCAGGTTAGTCCAGAGATGACTAAGAAACCACAGCCACCTAAGACCCACCTGAAACTCTTTGCCTTAGAATTAGGTGGGCCTTCAACATTGCGTTTGCATGAGAAGTGTCTGTCACTCTGTTTGTCACTATGATGTGAACTCCATGGAGGCAGGGGCTTTGGTTCCCTGCTCTGTTTTTGGTTCCTGTATCAGTGTCTGGCACACAGTAGGTGCTCAGCTAATATCTATAGTACAAACAAATAAAAATGCCTGACCTGGTCTTGTCTCTGATACACAAGCTGAATGGCATGATGCTTTCTCAGTGGACACTTGAATTCAGTCTGGTCCCTTTGACAGTCCCATGGGGACTTGGAACTGGAATGTAAACTGGGAAGCAATTCCAAGTTGAGAGGGAGGACATGCCTGTCCTAGGAGAGTGAAGAAGCAAGGAGGGGAACACAACCACAGGGGAAATGAAGACTTGGACGTGAGGCTGTCCCCTGTGAGCTTCATTGCAGAGGACTCAGGGCATCTCTGGCAGTGGCTAATGCTTGGCTTGAGTGGAGCAATGTCACTTATAGTAGCTGCAGGTATCATATTTGTGAAACTTTCTTAATGTCCTTGCCATTTAGGTGTGGGTTTCCAAAGGGTGCGGTTTGTCAAGGTTTACGTAATAGCAGGCCCAGGAGCAGGCGAGTTGAGGGTACTAATGAGAATATGAATAAAGGGATGAATAGCAAGAAAAATGATTGTGAAGACACAGCAGTGGGGTGGTGGTGAGTGGAGTGATGAAGGTCCCAGGTGAGTCTAAGGCCTGCTTTCAGCTAGAATTCCAGAACATCTGACTGTATCTGTATTGATACCAGCAAAATATCCAATCCCCGGGTCAGCCCCGTGAGGCAAGAAGAGTTCAGGCCAACAGTCTGTGCACTAAGTATCTTCTGGAATTGTGCTTGACAGATTGCAGACAACTGACAGCTATAAGGAGTTCCAGGAGCTGATGGACATAAAGAACCCGGACCGTGTTGGCAGTTGATAAACTCTGAGTTAGCTATTATCATGATTAGCATTATTTGCAAACTCATATGAGCTCTTCCCAGGGGTTTCCAGAAAGATTTGATTAAGGGACATTTGAAGAGGCTGAGACTCTGCATTATGCAAGTGGGAAACATGAGCCAGAAACTTTTTAATTTTAACTGGTAATATGACCCCATTTGTACACAGAGGCTGATGAGGTCCGAGTGAACTTGGATTATAAAAACAACAACAACAAAATCTATCATCTCTAGAGTAGCCTCAAAGTGTTTTGTACATTCTGGGCATTATGCTCATCTCTCTTCTCTTTATCTATCCTATATATCTCTTTATAATATGTATGTATAACATATCTTTTAATCCTAAACTTCTGCAACATAATTTTCATTACCCCCATTTCGAAGATGATGTTCTAGGAGATAATAACTTGCCAAGCACACAAATCAAGCAAGAAATGGAGCTGGGATTTGGATAATGGGGTCTGGGATAATTAAGGAAGAGAGAAAGGTCAAAAAGAGAATAATGGAGTAGAAAAAAAATGAGTGCCCGAGAGCCTGGAACATACTAATCACTATTAATAATATTTGAACATTACAGAATGCTTGATAGGTGCCAGGCAGTTACCAGGGACTTCAGTGTCTAGACTCATTGATCTTTACAACATTTCTATGAGGCAGGAATTTTCCTGCCATTATTTTACAGACATGGAGGTTTTGAGAAGTTAAATAACTTGCATATGGTCCCGCCATCGCTGAGTAGTGAGCATGAATTTTCAGTCCGTTAATCTGACAGTCTGTGCTCTTGGCTAGGCAGGGACCACCACCTGTTTCTGCAAGAAATTTTTTATTGACACATGGCCATGCCTGTTCCTTTATGTTTTGCTTCATGCTACGATGGTTGTCATAGGCAAACCTAAAATATTTACTATCCTTAAGGAAAAAATTGTTGACTCTTGCTTTTGACTTCTTCCACTATTCAGTTTGCATCAATCAATACAAAGGTGCAATGGGAGTCAGAGAATGGGATCACTGGTAGGATGAGAGCACATGCATGGGGTGGGGGGCTTGGGGATGCGGCTCGGTGATAGAGGCACCTCCCTGGTATGTGCAAGGCTCTGAGTTTGATCCCTAGCACTGCAAGAAAAAAAAATAAGTGAATAGGTAAATAAACAAAAACAAAAACAAAAAACCATGATTGGGAAGGGGCATAAAGTGCCCGGTTTTCAACAAAGTGCCAGAGAATGATCAAGGAGTGTCTTTGGGACAGAGGATCAAGCACTGTGACCTTAGGATTAGATAGGCTCTCCATAGGGTCTGCTGTGGTTTGGATATGGTCTGAGCATGTGCCCCAAAGATTGATGTGCAGACTTGGCCTTTAGTGCAGTGACACTGAGGTGGTAAAACTTTTAAGGGGTAGGGCCCAGTGGAGGGTGGTCAAGTCGTGAGTGGGGCACTGCCTCTGGAAGGGTTTAAAGTCATTCTTGTGGTTATAAAGAGTGAGCCTGACTCTGTGATCTCTTTGACTTCCTGTCTCATCATGTCATCTCTTCTGCTTGGGCTCCTGCCATCTTGATGTCATGCACCGTGAGGCCCTCACCAGAGGTCAAACAGATGGGCTGACTTGATCTTGAACTTTCAAACTGTGAGCTAAATAAACCTCTTTTCTTTATAATGTACTAGCCTTAGTACATTATAGCAGCAGAAGATGGACTCAGACATAGTCACTGAAATAACCCAGGATGGTGGAGACTTGGTATGGAGAGGACAATTGGGACTTATACTAGAACCCTCACTAAGGCAGAGGAGTGATCAGGAGGGCATTACGGAGAGTGAGGTAGAGTGAGGAACTATCCTCACAGAAGAGGGGGAGAAGAGGAGCCATGATTTGGAAATAGAAGAGGGATGCAAAACAGACAGCTGTTCCCCTTCTCCTGGGCCCTGGGTATTTGAACGTGAAAGGTGAAGCCACCTGGAGAATTGCAGGGAGGGCAGGTCCCCTGCAGGGCAGCAGTGCCAGGGTCGACATGGGCTCCTGTGGGCAGCCAAGCTTCCTCTCTGCACTACACTGGCTGGCCCTTCCTTCAGTGTCCCTGGCACCAGGGCCCTTACCTGTGTAGTCAATCACAAAGCCAGCATTGCTCACAGATGCGTCGCTGCGGAAGGCGAGGAATAGGCTGTTGCCGCTGCTTTCAATGCGGCCTGGGAGCTGGGAGCCATAGAAGCTTCCTATGAGAGGGCTGAGAGAGTCCCGTCCATCGTAGATATGAAGGAAGTCATAGCCAGGCTCCAAGTTAAAGCTGGGGAACAAAAACATCCCACCCCCACCCATGAAGGTCAAATGAATGGCTCATGCTGGGGCCTTAGACTCACAGCAAGGATGGGGCCTCCCCAGGAGCAACCACCCTTCCACTAGGACCCAACCCCTGAAATCTGGCTGGCGGGGAGGTGGGGAGAGGATGGAGCCCGGTGACCTCCCAGTCAGGCAAGATGATGATGTCAGATTCCAGAGTCAGTGTCCCCAAATCTGCAGCTAGCTGAAAACCTACTGTCCTCCCTACACACAAGGGAAGCGAGTCACCAACTCTAGGCACCGAGGGACTAGCCAAGGAAGATCCAGAACCTAGGTCTCTTACCTGACACCCATGTTTTTTATATCATGCTATTCTGCATTTCTTTTCATCAGAGGGAAGAACTGCCCAGGTAGCCATTCCCAGGAGGGAAGGGGCCTGCCCCCTTGCAGGACCCTAACATTCTTCTTTTATCCCAATCCAGTTCTCTAGCTCTTTTCGGGATCTGCTAACATCCTACTCCTAGCACCCCACCCAGGGATGCCTCTCTTAGCTGTCTTGACCCTGGTGAGTGGGGGGAATCCACTTGAAAAACTATCTTAGTTTAGCAAATTGGATATTAAAGCTCCTGAATGTAATTTATCCCACTGGATTGGCTAGAGTGAAAAATGATAAAAAATGCCAAGTGCTGCCCAGCAGCAGAGCCCCTGGGCCCTCACACCCTGCAGGCCAGCCTGTGAAATGGTTCGCCCACTTTGGAATGCAGCTGGGCTGGATCTGCTCACTCTAAACACAGGCCTGCTCTGGGATGCAGTAGGCCCACTCTGAAGTATCTATCTAGCAAGAGCAATTGATGCCAATCAAGTGTGCAAAGATAAAAATAATAGAAAAGTAAATGAGTTTGCAGAAAACAGATTTTCAATGTAAATTCAATCTTGTCCAGCCATGAGCCGGAAACTCAAGACATACCACTTGGCTGGACTGAGAATGAAATGGTGAGGGGCCACCACATTTCTGGGACAAAGAGGCCAAGGCTTGTAGGGAGACAGGGTGGGGGTCTGGGAGGCAGATATGCACTTTCTACATGGCCCACTCTCACACTGGTGCAGGCTGTAGGGTCACCCCACCAATCCTCTCACACTGGGGCTGGATGAAGAGTCACCCCACCAGTTGGTAATATGGTCTTCCTGCCTCTGCAATTCAGCTTCCTCCCACCTGCTCTTTCAAAGTCTCCTGGGAAGGGTTTTGAAGTCTGGCATTACAACTTAATTAATTACCTTCTGTCTGTCCCGACCTTCCTTCAATCATGGACTTCGTATCAGAGCACCCTCAATATGCCAGGCACTGTGCCAGGTTCCCAGGACTGGAAGACATTCAGATACCACCCCTGCCTCCCAGGAGGGGATGTTGCTATAGCAAGCCATGGAGTATAGCCAACAGAAGGCAGAGCAAGAGCACACGGTGTCCCCGAGCGGGTGGAGATCACATGTTCATGGAGGTCTAGCTTGAGCTAGTCCTGGGACATGAGAAGACCCTCAGTGGGTGGACAAGGAGGGAGTAGGAAATGGCTGTGAAGGCAGAGGCAGAGGCAAGGACACAAGGTCATGACAGAATCTACGAGACCCTGGTGATTCCAGAAGTTCAATCTGGCTGGGGTTCTGGACATCGAATGGGGTGGAGGGACTTTCTGGAGAGTTGGGCAAGGGCCAGATCATTTGGTGCAAAACTCAAAACTTCAGACTTATTATGACAAGAAGGTCATTAAAAGATTTTAAAATAAAGAATCTATTTCTTTTTAAATTGACATGCATATCATGACCCAGAACATTCCCATCACCCCAGAAGGTTCTTAGGGCCTCTTCCCAGTTCATCTTCCCCAGTTCTAGAAGCTGCCACCATCGAGCTCTTCTCATCATAATTAGTTTTGCTGACCCTAAAACTTCACATAAAGTTGAATTTTATATTCTGGACTTTTTTGTGTCTGGCTTCTTCCACTCAGCATAGGATTTCTGGGACTTATCCACACTGTTACATGATCATCTTTTTTTTTCCTTTTTTTAATACTGCTGAGCACTATCATTATAGGATGTTTAAGTGGAAAATGGGTAGTTATTTCAGCATTTTTGAATGACAGGTTCACTCTGACAGCTTAAGAAGAAATTAGCCTGGGAGGCAAGATGGTGCAGAGGAACCAGTCAGGAGACCGCAGCCATCATTGAGGTGGGAAATGATAAGGGGTCAAAACAAGTCAAGAGCTGGTAGGATGCAAAAGAGGGAAACAGGGGGAGTTAAGGCATAGAGATGGATGCCTTGGCTGTTCACGGAAGAGGTAGTGGGGGGGGGGCGAGGGCCACTTGCTCGTGATGAGAAGAGCTGCTCTGGGAAAAGTACTTGGTTTTGTGCAACCTTCATCTGCGGTGCCCGCAGGCACCAGGCAGAGCTGTCCCGAAGCGGGATATGGGCGCCGTCAGCTGTAAGGAGGCCAGGGCAGCAGCAGGGGAGGATAGTCCTTCACTTCCAAGGAGGCTGCTGCCATGGGCGGGGGCGAGCTTGTTTTGGAGGGAGGTCTGGGTGCGAAGAGGGGGCTATGGCGAAGTCAGGCAGAGGAACAGGGACAAGGAAAGGCAGCTGGGAAGGCCCAGAAGAGACCCGAGAAGCAGAGGACAGGAACTTCACAAAACCAAGGGAAAGCAGCCTCGGGTGGTGGGCGTGGTCAAGATGCGCACGGGGTGAGGCGTGGAAAGCTCCGTGTTGTTGACAACCCAGAGTCGGTTGGTGTCTTTTCTCAGTGGAGGCTGCAGAGGAATGGTGGCGGCAAGGCCAGACTCCTTGGGCTGAGTGACTGGGAGGGAGGAGTAAGAACAAGTGGAGGCAGTTCTTCTGCAAGCCTGCGGGTAAAGGGAACGAAGGATGCGGGGGCAGCAGCCAGGTGGGGAGGATGCAGGGGACCTGAGCCTGCTCCTCTGCCAGGGAGTGGGGAGGAGCAAAGGAGGAAAATGCAGGAGGCTACGCAAAGGACTCCAGCAAGGGCCTCCCTTCTGAATCAGAAAAGAAATCACGACGGCCATGTCAGAAATGATGACAAGGATCCTAGAGGGGACAGCGTGGGACCACTGAGCTCAGGAAGGAGGGATTTAATACAAGCTAGTTTTCCTTTCTCTCCTGTTGACTGGCTCACTTCCCAAGGTTCCGAGAACTCCGCCCACAGATCTGTGTCTACTCACCTGGGGGCCCAGGTCCTCAAACCCCTAGGTGCTCTGAACCCTCCGTCTCCCACCCGGGGGGAAAGGTACATACATGTTAAATACCAGGGCGATGACGTAGTCTGGCGAGACGGTCACTTTCCAGTCACACTCCTTGCCTGGCGGATAGGGCTCGGGATAATTTGGCGACAGGATGACTCCTGATGGTCCCGTCAGGTCTCCCCCACAAGGAGCTGAGGACAGAGGAGGTGGAAGGTGAGGCTGTCCCCTTCCCCCTGGTCACCTGTTAGTGGGTACCCAATAAGCAAGGTAGAAAGCGGGGTGGGGCCGAAAGGCCCAAGTTAAAATGTAGCTGGAGCAGAGGGGACGGTGGGATGACAGTTCGACTTGGGAGTGATGGAGATGTGTTGGAAGAAGGCGGCAGGGGCACCGCATTGTGACTGTACCAAACGACACTGAATTGTTCCCTTTAAAATGGGCCGTTTTCTGCCATGGCATTTTACATCTATAAATTATGTTAAAACCATATCTGGCTTTGCCACTTCCTGGCTATGTGACCTAACCTTTCTGGCCTTGGTGTCCTTCCTGTATGATAAAAAGAGATCATATCTGCTCTGTGGGGCGGCTGTAAGTGTTCTTGGAGGGTCTGTTGTGGCATTTGGCATGGAGTCAACGGTCAGCAGGGCGCCATCTCTCTGTCTGACTCATGAACTGTGCAGTACCCTTCTGCAGCCTCACGTCCAGATTCCAGGGGAGTTTTGTGGGTGATCACTGCCAGTTCCAGCCACTCCGTGTCAGAAGGAGTGCAAACGTGGTGGTCTCTGCTTGCTGCCAGTGCTCTTGGCATAGGCTTGGGGCTGCAGATATGGTCCAGCTTTCCAAAAGCCCTTTGCCAAGAGCAAGTGGGTGCCTCCCTCAGCTGGATGGGGGTGCTGCGGATCCCCAGTGAGTCTTAGATGATCCCCTTCCCTGAGATCACAGGCAGGTGTGGAGGGGCAAGGTGGCCAGGTCATCTAGCAAGAGAACCCAGGGACCTCTTGCAACCTCCCCCAGATCCTGAGCCAGGTCCCCCCTCACTATTTGGCTTGGGAAATTGTTAGATTCCTCTTCTCTGTGAAACAGAAACCAGATAAATTAGCTGAGAAAGAGGAAGAGGAGAGAGGCTTGGGAGTTTCAGCAAAGAGGTGGCAGAAAATAATGTTCCCAGAGATTGGGAGAGTGTGACCCAGGAAATATGTGGGGCTACAAGGTTAGGACACTGGCTGGGGCTCTTGCTGTTCTGTGGCAGGAGGCTGAAGAGAGTGAGAGCTGGGAACTGTGTGGGGTCAAGAGCAGGAGAAGTGGGCCCCAGGGCACCGCTGAGGCAGTGGGGTCAGCAGACAGTGACCCACAGAGTGCAGAGAGTGGGTGTTGGGCACTTGAGTCTCTCTCATTCTTCTCCACTGAGCCTCAAGGCAGAGGTCTGGATAGAGGTACACACTGCGGTCAGTATGGTCAGGACCATAAACCAGCACTGCAAGGCCCAGTCACAGAGGTGGCCCTGCTCTGGCCCGTCCAGAAAGAGTTAGATGTAGCCTCCCATCAGAAGCACCGGCCACCATGGAGTCGTCCCTGGGGGCCTCTGTGAGGCCTCACCTCTAGGCAAAGGTCACCACCTGGACCTCCCTCTGCCAGCTGGGGGGTTTCTCCCCTCAAGATGAGGTGAGTCTGGGAAGTGCACTAGTTGTGGGTTCCAGGCCAGACCCTGACCCAGCTCTCCTCCAGATGGGCTGCAGGCATCTGATAGCCAGGGACCCACTTCCCACTCAGGACCCTGAATGGGCTTTTCTGCCCTCTGCCAGGGGTACCCCATGGCCCTGGTGGACTCCCGAGCTGTGTCACCAACAGGGGTGTGCTGATTTAACAAACCATGGAGATACCCAGCTGGGAGAGGGCACCAGCTGCCAATCATCCCAGATAGCCAAGAAACAGGAAGGCTGTACTCAGAGGCAAGAGTTGCAAAAAGGGCATTGATTTAGAAACCACACAGTCCTGGGTTCAAATGCTGACACCACTCACGAGCTGTATGAATCTGGGCAAGTTCTCCTCCCTCTCTGAGCCTCCATTTCCTCATCTCTCAAATAAAAAAACAATGATAATAATGGATTCTAACACACACAGAGAGTTTACTAGGAACCAGGCAGCATGGTTCTGAGGACTTTACAGTGTTATCTTGTTTAACCATAAAACAACCCCATGAGACAGGTACTATTATTTCACTTTTTTACAGGCAAGGAAACTAAGGCACAGGGAGGGTAAGCAATTTGTAGAAGACCACCCAGCTTGTTGCAGTGAAGCCGGGGGTCAGAATCCAGAACCGAGCTCTAAGCTCACATGGCGACTTTGACTGTGATCATGTCTAGTTTTGCACCTATCACAGAAGGATGCTCGAAAAATATTTGTTTTCTTTCTTTGCTTCCCTCTTATAATGAAGGGCCATCAGGGCCAGCTAGACCCACTCATGGCAGACTGCCAAGGAGCTGGAAATTAGGGGCTTGTCACTGGGATTTCCAGTCTGTTTGTGAGAAGAGGCGAAGACATTTATTCTGTTGCCCAAGGAACACTTCCTAATGCCGTGTGTGGAACGAGCAATGAAAGCTGAATTAACCCCGCAGCCCTGCTTCCTGCCCATTACGGCTCCCGTCGGCCCAACAGTGCAACTCCCCCTCCCGGGGCGGCTCCACTCAGGACTTGCTTCTCTGCAAAATAAGTCTCAGGAACCACGGCCTTGTGCAGAGTGGAATGTGGAAGGGGCCTAAGAGGTCATCTGAGATTCTCTTCGGCCTCACCAAGATTCCCTTGATCAGAGGGAAATTCTGGCTCAGGGAAGGGAAGTGAGCCCAGGAATTTGAAATAGGAAACACAGAAGAAAGGGAAGGAAGCAGAGATGGAGGGAGAGACATTCTTATTTCTTGAGATAAAGGTTAGCTGTGTTGTCACCCCACAATGCCATAGTTACCCTTGCACTTGAGGAAATGGAGACTTAGAGAGTTGAAGCAATTTTCCTAAGGCCACAGAGCCAAATGCTAAACCCAGACCCATCTGCTCCCTTGTCCCGTGCTCTTTCCTACACATCACAGTGAGCAGTTAAGAATGGAGCTGGTTCTGGAACTCAGTTCTCCACCTCCTGTGTGTTCACCATGCTCCTGCTTATACATGCAGGTGACCCCTCTTCCCACTGAAGAACAGTACTTGGCATCTCACTACAAGTTCCAGCCTTTGAGCCACAACTGACCATGGCCAGTCCTCAGGTGCCCAGATGGTGCCTCCCACAGAGCACATGCGGAAAGAGGCGCAGAGCATCCCCAGGATGGGGGTCTCAGGAAGCCCCCCTAGTCTATTCCCAACAGGGGACCTGGCACGGAAGGTGGGAGAATGAAAGGCTTTGTTTTCAGACTGGTATGGATGCAGGTGATGGCTGTACCATGTCCTAGCTGTGATTTGGGGCAAGACATCCAAATTTGTCTATTCAGTTTCCAAAACTGTTGATGAGAAAATGGTGCTAATTTCTGAGAGCTACAGAGGTGAGTTCAATGAGGTCAACTAAGTAAACATCCAGCGTGGGGCACACAGCAAGGGTTCAGTGACCACCTGTCCCCTGAGAGCACCCATCACGGATGCGGGCGATCAATGCATTTATCATTTCACCTGAGAAAAAGAGCCACGTGGAAGTGAGCACCTGGGGCGACTGCTCCTACCTCTTTTTCTTTCCTGTCCCTCTATTCCTTCAACTTCCCTCTTCCACCCATCTCTAGTAGGGAGGGGACAAGGTTATTCAGGCCCCACCCCTTACAAGTCTCAGGACTTCTATTTCTTCATTTGTCAAATGGAGAGGTTCTAAGACTGAGGACCCATTCCATGAACCCAAACCCAGGTAGCCAACAATCCCCTGGAGAGGACAAGCACCTTTCCTTTGCACCTGAGCCTATGAGGCCCCTTCTGGTGCTTTAGCTAATTAAAGGGCCACGTTAGGACCTGCTGACCCCACTACCCAAGGTGACCCCTGCTCCTTCTTGTGCAAAGGAGGGTAGACTTTGGATTTTCTACAGATTTCAGCTGTTCCAGTTCTCCTGGCCCTGAACTCAAGAAGCAGCTGCCACTCGTGTGGAGGAATCTGGGGCACACCACTGTGAGACCCGAGGGCGGAGTGCACTCCGCAGCTGCTCCATACCAATGCACGTGGGCGGGCTGGGCTGCCAGAAGAATCTGTTTTCTATCTTCACGCAGCTGATCTCTGCACTTCCCTGCAGCGCGTAGCCAGGGTCACACTGGAACACTGTGGAGTCCCCAGCTTCCCAACTGTTGCCACTCCGGCTCCCGTTCTGTGGGACCCCAGGGTCATTGCAGGATGTCGCTGTGGACACTGGGACAAGAAAACAGAAGAGGGAGCAGGTTGCCTCCATGTCTGCCAGTCAACGAAGCTCCCAGCTCATCACCCATGCTGACCACTGTCACCAGTGCCACTGCTAAGACCGGTCATCAGCTGCGGCAACTCCAGGGCCACCATCCTCCAACATTATTATAACAGCATCCACCTGTCACTCACACTGACACCACCACCGTGGTTCTCCCAATACCTTCGCCATTGTCATGACTAAACTGTCATGCGATTCTATGGGGAAAGCAGGATTGTACTGCTATGATTGTGGAATTGAATTCAGCTTAATTTAAGAACACAAGAATTGCGTATGGACAAAACTTTGCAACTTTGTATAACATAACTAACATGATCAGTATCAGGGAGTGAGAAGATAAGTAGAGCATACATACATGCCACGCATTCAATCATAAGGGTTTGCAAAGGAGTCTGGAGGTGGCCTGCCCATGTCTGAGCAGTCATTGTGAAGTTGCAGGGAGTTTACTGAGGTCTGGTAACCATGCTGTCTCCTGCATGTGCACAAACAACTAAGGAGCCATCAGACCCAAACCACAGGTAAAGATAAATCAGATATTTATAACAAGTGGCAAAGTTCAAAACCAAGGCAAATGGATGCGGGGGGAGGTCTTAAAACTTTTTTTAAGTGGAGAATTTTGGAGACATGGGTGGTACACAGTTGAATACATAGCAGGTTTTTCAAAGCAAAGTGCTGAGTGAATGTGGAGGAATGAATGAAGGATAAAAGAATGATTATATCATGAGAAAATGCACCAGAGGAAATGGTGTAAAAGTCCAGAGAATTCTGAGACAGTTGCAACAACCCCAGGTGCCTCCATACTCAGAGCTGACAACAGTGCCTGGTTTTCAGCTTGTTGTCCCTCCTACACCCCAGGAACAGACCCCAGGGGCAAGAGGATCTGGAGGTCAAGGAATAACTCATGCTCATTTTCCTGGGAGGGTTAGTGTTTCTAAAAATTTTCAGGAAAAATTGCTTTTACACTAAAGCAGAAGAATTTATTCTGGTGCAGAATGTAAAATTCACATGAGCTTTTACCCAAACATGTGAAGCCTCAAAGAGATTTCTGTGTTTCTACATCCTCCAGCCCTCCTGCAGAGATGCACCCATTCTCTTTTGCTACCAGGAGACCTAGAGCAGAAAAATCCCAGAAGAGACATTCTAGAGAAACTGTGCAAAAATGTCACTAATTATAGGATCTGGGATTGTGTGGGCCAGTCTGGAGTAGCAGTACCTATACCTTAGACTCAATTAACACCAATGGTAGCCTAGGACAAACGGCTCATGGCTAAATCTGGCTCTGTGCTTCTTTCTAAAAATAAAGTTTTATTGGAACACAGGCATGCCCATTTGTTTACATGTTGTCTGTGGCTGCTTTCATGCTGTGCTGGCAGAAAACAAATTGTTACAACAGAGACCATATGGCTCACAAAGCCTAAAGAGTATCTAGTCTTTGACAGAAAATGTTTGCCAATCCCTGGTATATGGTATCCTATCTTAAGCCCTCTGTGTTTGAGATCACATTTTAAAACTGATCCTTTGCTTTTATTTAGTTTCAGTCATTAACAGCATGGATGATGTGCTACCACTATGCTCCAACTACATTTGTAGAATCTTCCAACAGAGCAAGCTCAGTGTCCCCTTCTTTCCTCCCTGCAGGACCCTTGCATTTCTGCTTCTGCCTGGCACAGTCTTGCTGCAGATCTTCCTATGCCAGCTCCATCTTGCCCTTCAGTTCCCAGCTCCAACATCACCTCATTAACAGGCCTCCTTGATCACCCGCTTCTGGGCTCATCCGGGAATCCCCTTCCATCAATTTTATCATATTATCCCATTTTGTTCTTTTTTACAGCATAACCTATAATAATCTTGCTAATTTATTTGTTTGCCTCTTTCTTGTATATCACTTGGGTATCTCTATGAGAACAGAGACCTTGGCTATTCTGCTTCTAACTGTGTCCCCAGGGCTTAGAGCAGCACTCAGCACATAATAGTGCTCAGTAAATATTTGTTGAATAAATGACTGAATGAACAAATCATCAGCGTTTGACACTTACTGGATTTATTTATAAAGTCAAATAAGAATCAGTCTTCTTCCTTCCCAATTAAAAACAGACTTAGCTTTCATCTCTGGCTTTACAGTGCACTGTACACATGTAAATGATTCCCTAGAAAGAAAATAGCTCACTGTTCCGACCATACTCAGAAAGATTATTTATCGTGGAGGCAATAGAATGCAAAGATTAAGAGCCTAGGTCTGGGAATCAGGCTCATGGGTTTTGATCCAGGTTCTGTTACTTATTTAGTAGATGACCCTGTATGAGCCACCTCAGAACCACATCTGCAACATCATGGTGCTCATATCATAAGGTTTTTGTAAAAATTGTAAGAGATGATGGAGCGGGGAAGTTAGTGTGGCACCTACTTAATACTGCGATCACACTTCCTGCTCACCATTTTTTTGTTTTCATTTTATCTTTAATGCTCCTGAATTTGAGCTGCTTGGCAAAATCCCTAGGGAAAGGCTGGATCCATGTGGTACAGACAGGATGTTAGATGTTACACAGTTATGTTTACTTAATAAAGCCAAGCCTGCGCTAATCGTCCCTGGCATTTCTGTACAATCTCCTGTCAAACACGCACTATAAAGTTAACATGGGGTAAGCCATTCTCTCCTCCCTAGAGTAGTCCTGGTATTTGCTAAGTGATGACAGCAACAGGGAAGGTGACCTTTCCCACACCCTGGTTATGTGTGGAATACTGGGCCAGCTTGTCATGGCCTTCTTGTAGCCCAGGCTGAGTAGCTTTGACCACTCTTCCCCCTGTGGGCCTCAGCAATGCTCAGGGCAGCCATGAAAACCATCCATCACATGGCAAGTCTGCATGTGCCTACTTACTCACGAAGCAGGGAGTAAGTGCCTGCTGCATACACACTCTGTGGGGGAGTCTGGGAGGCATGGCATGACCCTAAAACTAAGATCATCAAGTGGGATGGCAAGTAGGTGAAGCATCAAGTCAAAGCAGAATGACAGGTGTTGACAATGTACTCAAGAAATGGAAGCCAAGTGCTGGGGCTGCTGTGGCTGCAGCAATTTATTCTGAGTGGGGAGAGCGGGCAGCAGTGGCATCAGAGATGAACCCTGAAGGATGAATCGGGCTTCTGCGAGCAGGGCCATGTGTGAGAAAGCAGTCCCAGCAAGGGCACGACCACTGGAGAGCACCAGGGACTCAGCCCCACATGGCAACGCTGAGGACACAGGGGAGGTCACATAATGCAAATGTCTGGGGGAATCTGTCAGCATAATAATGGGCTTCTTCTTTGTTTTGGCTTTTGTTTTAAGCCATACCCATCAGCTTGGGCATTGCTGGGGAAAATACATGTTTGCCTTTAATTATTCATGATGCTCCTTTCCCCCAGAGTGCCTGAGTCTCTCCAGCACTCTCTCCTCCTTACGCTGGGACAGCCTTCCAGTGGGATAGCCTTCCACCGCCTAACCCCAGAACTCTTTGTTCACGTTTGTTCCATGAAATGCAGGTCTCTTGAGATGGCCTCCAGCAAAGCCAACCATGGTCAAACATGTTTGCACACTGAGACCTACTGGACATGTTTTGAGCTTATGTGCATGAGCATACCAAACACGCTCGCAGGCCTCACATTACGGATAATCTCTCTGAGTCTGCCTCATGCAGCACCTTCCTAATATTACTTGACCATGCAAACTTCTTTTTCTTGCAGTACCGATTAATATTCCACGGAGCTCTGAGAGAGACTGGAAATGCTAGGCTGGAAGCCTGCACAAGTGTTAAGTGGGCAAATTAATAAGTAGAGCTGTCCCTTAGTGTCCTCAGGGGTTGGTTTCAGGTGACCTCCCAAGGACACCAAAATCCAGGGATGCTCAAGTCTCTTACATTGTACAGCATAGTATTTGCCTATAACCTACATACATCTTCCTCTATACTGTAAACCATCCCCAGATTCCTTGTAATACCTAATACAATGCAAATGCTAGGTAAATAGTGGTTATACTCTATTGATAGGGAAGAACAAGATAAAAGTGTGTACATGCTCAGTACAAAGGCTATTTTTTTCCAGCTATTTTGTTCCAGGGTTGGTTGAATTGATGGATGCAGAGCTCACAGACGCAGAGGACCAACTATATGAAAGAACATGATCCTGGAGACCCTCATCTACTCCACACACTGCTAAATGCTCATCTCCACCGAGAAAAACAGCAACAACAACAGAGATGCAGAAAAGAACTAGAAATAGGGTGTGCAATCCTGTTACAGCCTTGACGATGCCAGGTGTAGATATACCAACTGGGAGGGGATGTAGGGGCAAGCCGTGGCACAGGTGCCACACAGACTTGCTCTGGAATCACCATGGAAACCTCCCCCCACCCGACACACACACACACAGTGGAGTAAAGAGATGGTAATGAGGACAGCTGCTGTATAATAAACATACGTGACAGCAGAGGAAGAGTCATTTGTTCAGGGAGAGGAGTGATGGAAGAGGCACTTGGGAGGAGATGAGACGGTGCGTTTGAGGAGAGGCAGGCACGCCACAGGAGCTATCCAGTGTCAGGACTTGGATGTTTGAGAATTGCCTGCTTTGGGCAGTGCTTTGTCACGCTCCTCCATAACTGGCTACTGTGGTACATAATTAATTGAATTTAGATTACTTGTGTTTGGCTTCCAGTCCTCACCCCGACCTGCCCTAAATGAAGAGCCAGAGCATGTGGCATGTTGTACCGTTCCTCCATGTGCCTGGCCTTTCAGCCCCAAGGGACCACCCTCTGCTTCTGGACCCCATGGTCCTTCCTGCTCCTGCATCATTCATGGGTTCTTTGCACCAACGATGCCCTATTTTCTCCTTTTCACATAATAGGGGTCTGCAAGTCCTCCGAGTCCAACTCAGCGGCACCTTCCATTTCATAGAGGACCACTCTGTCCTTGAACACTCTCTTGAGTTACTTCTACCCACTTTTGGGGGTCTGAGTTTGGATACTTTTCTAGAACACCTTCCTTGATGTTCCAAGGTTACGGCAATGGTCCATGTCTCCATCCACAGCTGATCAATTTGTATGCAAGTATCTGTCAACCTGCCTGCTTTCCCCACCTGAATAAGTTCAGCAAGGCTATTTGAACAAGTTATAAGTTAGGGACACAGCAGATGCTCAAGAAATCTCTTTTCATAGAAGGAGAGATGGAGGGAAGCAGGGATAGAGGAGGTTGGCGTGGCTGGACACATGGAGAGGGGCTGGGAGAAGGTGAGCACAGACCTGAGAACTGAATGGCAAAGCCTTGCTTGCTGGTGAAGAAGTCCGTGCTGAACTGCAGAACGACCGAGTTGAAGGTGCTGTGCAGGTCCTTGGGCAGGACTGAGCCGCTCAGCTCCTTCAACAGAACCCCGCTCTCCACAGGCCCGTCCCAGATGCGCAGCACATCATGGACCTCCTCTGTATCAAACACCAGGAAGTGGAGCCTGGATGGAGAGAAGAGGCAGGTGGTCACGCCGGGCTGGGCTCTTTCTTTCCAGGGACTTCTGGGCAGGGCAGGTCCTAAGCCTAGGAAGACTTGGAGGAAGGGGGAGGCAGCATCTGCAGTATCCTCTCACCGGAACCACTAGCAATGGGGACAGGAGTGAGGGGGTTCAGACTTTATGCATCTCATTTATTATGAACTCTACGTTGCTGTGGTCAGACCCTACCTCTCTCTTCTATCCTACGCAGCCCCCAGACCTGAGTCAATATCCTAACCATTCTAGATTGGGGAGGGGTCTGGGTTGGAAAAGGACACAGGTTTTTTAAAAAGGTAGGGGACAAGGGGCACTGTGGGGGTCTCTGAGAAGCTGGCCCACCTGCAGCAGGAGCAGGGGTGAGCCTCTGTCTAGGTTTCTCAGAGCAGAACTCTAGGGATATCAGCTACAGACAGGCTTGGTTTAGATAATCCCTGCAAACCTCAGCAGGCTAGACAGGGGCCCCCCAGGTATGGGGCCCTGCAAGTCATGCTCAGAACTTGCAGAGCAATGAAGCTTGGTAGGAACCGGAATTCTTCCCAGACAAAATGGTTCTGGCAGCCAAAGATACCTTGGCTCCAAGCTTATGTGACTCTGTTAGTAGATTTCTTTAAAATTCTGGAATAATTTTAGACTTACAGAAAAGTGCAGAGATTACACAGAGAATTCCCACAGACCCTTCACCCAGCTCTTCCAGTGGGGACATCATACGTTTCTATAGTACATTTGCCACAACTAAGAAACCTATGCAGGTATGCTGCCATGAACTAAGCTCCAGAGTTGCTGTGGATGTCACCAGTGTCTCCTCTAATATTCTTTTCCTGTTCCGGGATCCAATCCAGTTAAGGCTCCCTTTTAAAAAAAACATCTTTTTAAATGATAAAAATGAGACATGCCTAAGTCAGTAAAAAGCAATCAATACACAGGTGCATTGAATTTCTGAAGTCTCTTTCTCATACAACCAATCTCTTTTGCAGAGTTTTCCACATAATAGCAGGTTTGATGCATATCCTTCCAGAAGTTTCTCAATGTTCCTCTATACATATTGTTCCCCCCACATGGGACCATATCTTAAATAGTTTTTAAAAAATTTTCTTTCTTCACTTAATATCATAATCTATCTATCTATCTCCATCCCTTTTTTTCTATAGAAATTAACATTATATTTCACTATTTCCCATAAAACTGCAGGGAACTTTTTCATCTTTATGCAACTTTGCACATTTATGTTAATGTTTTGGTTGAGTTCTAGAAATAGATTTTTTTGGGGGGTGTGGAAATGTATCTATTTAACTTTTTTTTGATAGATTCTGCTAAATTGCTAAATTATCCTTTCAAGTGGTTGTATCAATTTATATTCCCACTAAACAGTATTAATTTTATATTCTCTTTAAACTCCACTTTTCAAATATCAAATATTATGATGTTGCAAATATCTTCCATATTAAAATACTCCCAGCTGCCAAACCAAAATGGTATTTCACTGGTATTTTAAATTTAGATAATTTAGAATCTCACCTAACATGGGAAATCTTTGCACATATTTATTGGGGCATTTTTATCTCTTCCTATCCTTTATCCATCTTAATTGTGTTATTGGTCTTTTAAAATTCTATTTATGCACTATGAATTTTATTATCTTTACATATTTTGATTCTTCTTTTATATGATATGTATTTCAATACAAATAGTTTATATCTGGTTCCTTTTTTACCTCTAAGTTGTGTTTATGGTATTCATTTTGGGTAGACATTATTTATTTTATATTATAAAATATGTTAATCTTTTAAAGATACAGGGATGCTATATTAAACCTGGGCAGACCTTCTTTCATTTCCAAAAATGATTAAAAACCAAAACCTTACTGTTTTTACAGAATTTGCATAGTTTCATTATTTTCTCAACTGGACATTCACTTATCCGGACACCTATCTAAAGTAGCCTGCTTCACATATTGTCTATTAAAACATCCAGTTCACTTCCTCCTTAGGAAGAAACTCAGTGTAAATTTAGTTTATTTCTGTGTGCACAATCTCTTTCCCCAGCTCGAGAGTGATTTTCATCAGTGTGGGTCTTGTTTAAGTTTGCAGCTTCATACTTAGGACATTCCAGACCACTGGGACAGGGTTCATGAGTACCTATGGCATGAAGACACTCATAACTCAACTATCCAGGTTTGAAATGTCCCCTTGGTCATGGGTCTGTTCTGGGTCTCTGCTGAGTTCTAGTGCACCACATAGCCTACACTGGTGGTACTGGGGTCGTAGCTCACTGTACTTTTCATATTCCTCATATTTTGATATTCTTTTTTTTGGAGCAGGGGTACCGGGGATTGAATTCAGGAGCACTCGATCACTGAGCCACACCCCCAGCCCTATTTTGTATTTTATTTAGAATGGGGTCTCACTGCATTGCTTAGCTGAGGCTGAGGTGGCTTTGAACTTGTGATCCTTCTGTCTCAGCCTCCTGAGCTGCTGGGATTATGGGGGCGCACCACCATGCCTGGTTATTTTGATATGCTTACAGGGAAAATTCCCCTTTATCTACTTTCCCCAAAATATCTTAGCTTATTTCCCAAATTTACTCTATCAGATAAATTTTACTCTTAGCAAGTTGAGAAAAAAATCTTATTGAAACTTTGATTGGAATTGCACATATTTATTAATTAATATGGGAAAGAATTGATATTGTGGTTACTAATTTTCCCCCAGCCAGGAGCACTGTAAATATCCTTGGCAAAGTTTTATGGTTTTCTTTGTTATAATTGTCTTCTTAGCACATTTTTTGTTAAATTCATTCTTTGGCTGTCTATAAGTTTATGGTTTTGGATTCCATTGAATGAGATTTAATTTTTAGTTACATTTTCTAGTTATTTATTTTTTTTAATTTTTTTATTTTTGTGTGTGTCTTATTTTCACTCACCTGTTGGTCCTAACAAGATTCAAGGGAATCCCTGGGATTTCCCTGGTGGACCCTTCTTAGCTGTAAATGGAGGCTCCTCAATAACAGGAGCTACATGAGGCGGAGGCCACACCTTGGATTGAAAAGTGGGGAAACACACTCACTGCGGTGCCCTGCTGTTCCCTTCCTTCTCTGCATTCTCCCTGTTACTCAGTAAGTACCCTGTGGAATCAGCAGCCAACCACAAGAATGGACTCTGTGCTGCAGGCCTACACACCTGCTCTCAGAAAGGAGAGGCTGATGTGGGCTGCACTTGTCACGGAAGGAAGGAGGAAATAAAACTTGAAGTTTGGGTGGCATAAAAGGGAAAGTGTTGGGATTTAAGAATGGAGGCAGAGAGGAGGTAAAGGTGCCTGGGAAGAGGCAGCTCCATGCTTGGGTCCAAGTGGCCTCAGGATGTCAGAGGGAACAGGCTGGGTAGAGAGGGGAAGGAAATGAGTCTCAGAAAGAGCCTCATGAGTTTGGGCTTCATCCTCTGTTAGCCAGAAGCCGTTCCAGAGGATGTCCGGAGTCCCTGAGGGTGAATAATTGAACAGCGAGGGAGTGAATGGATGAATGAATACAGGAACTCCCAGGAGATCCAGTCGGACAGGAAGCAGAGGAAAGCGAGAATATGGAGACTGAGTAGAAATGAAAGAAAGTATGTTTCTCTAACAACCACGGTGTATAAGGTCCTTCTCCATGATCTCATCGAGTCTGCCTGAGCATCTTTTGTTGGTATCATCAGTACCATCTTTACAAATGAGAATCCTGAGGCTCAGAGAGGCTGAGTAACTTGCCCAAGGTCAAGGGCTCATTAAAGAGTAAGTGGAATGAACATGACCTAATGATCGTCCAGGTTGGACTTGGGGCTTCTCATACCCCTCGAAGGAAGATACAGTGGTTGAAAGTGGAGCATGGGCTGCAAAGGAGCTGTCAGTAATGAACTGCTTCCTCATGGATCATATACAATGATGCAAGACCATGAATTTTAAATGCCAGATCACTGCATTCAGCATAGTTAATCTATTAATCAGACACAGTCTTATTGGTATTGATGAGACCAAGAGGAGGGGAGAGGAGGGAACTGTGAGAACTATACCTTGGCAACTAAAAGGACTGGGGGTCAAGTTCCCAACCCTGGGTGCCATATTGCAGAAGTTCTTAGAATTGGGTGCTACCCCTGCATGCACAAATCCATTAAAATATTATCAGCTGTGGCAGCTGTGGTGAGGAGAATGGAGGGGTGCAGAGACAGAGGAACCGTTTAAGAAATAGCAGCCTGAGAAGACCTCTCCAAGGAGGTGAGGTTTAAGCAAGATGAAGGGCTTAAAGGGAGCCGGCCCTAGGCAGAGCAGGCAGGGTCAGAGGTGGGAGGTGGCTTTTCCTGTATAAAGGGCAGCACTGCAAAGGTCCCAGAAGGGAAGCAGCCCCAGGGCATCTGAGCAACAAACAGGCCATGGGGGCAGTAGTGGGGCCAAGAGCAGCAGGCAGAGGCCGGCCTGCTGGGACTTGGGCTGGGGAAGAAGTTTGGACTTTATTTTCTGGGCTAAGGGGAGTCACTGAAGGATTCTAAGCTAAGGCTTGATGAGGTCTGATTTGTATTTCAGGATGGCTCTGGCTCCAAGAACGAGAATAGATTGACAGAAGGGCCCGAGTAGATGCAGGAGAATTAGCTAGGGGCCTGGTTACAAACCCTTGATGAGAGCCAGGGAAGACTGGGTTTGCCACACTGGCCACATTTATTCAGACTCCTATTGAAAACTTTCCTCATCTTATGGACATCAAAGTGCATAAATACCAATTCGAGTTTCTGATCAATAGAAGCAATTCCAGGCCCAAACAGACATTTGGGTCTGTCTGAGCACCTCCCCAGCCGGTGAGCCCTGGGCCTTCTTTTGGGTTTTGAAATATTGCGAATGGTCTGGGGACCCTGCCTGTGCTGTGTCCCCAAGTGGGAAGCACTGAAGGGGAGAGAAGAGGTGACAAGGTACCCCTTCCTATTGATGACTTGCGTGTGTGTGTGT